ATATATATATATATATATATATATATATATATATATATATATATATATATATATATATATATATATATATATATACACGAGGCATTTAGCGATGTACTTGATTTAGTGGAAGGTGCTTTCCGCAAAAGGCACTAAATAAAATACATCGCCAAATGTAATACGTTTACAGTATACAATAGATAAGAGAAGCATACATGGAGAGTAGCAATCTCCAAAAATCTCATTAACTTTTCAGAATTGATGCAGAAAAAAAAAATTAACACCATGATCACTGATAAAATTGATGAATTTCCAACATTCATCTACAACTATTTTTTTTTTCTGTCGGGCCCTCAAAAGAAGATGTTTTTTACAGTTTACCTGAAAATCTCAAAGTTGAATCATCAAGCAAAAAGACAAATCAAATGCTCTCAGGAATACCTGAAATTGACCTCGGTATAGAGTAAGTACAATACATGAAACTGGACTATGAATAGAAATCCTTGGTTTGAAATTTAATATTTAGTCCATAGGATTATTTTTTTTTCTTTCGTTGTTGTCTTTACTTATTTACAGCCAAGTTCTCCATAAAAAAGTTTTTCAAAAGCATTCTAACTTTAGTTTGTCAATGCCACTTGACTTGATATTTCTGTGGTTGTTCAAATTTCGCACTTTAATTAATCAAAATATATGTAGTAACACAAAAATCACAAACTCCAAAATCTTTTGAAGGATCTACTATTTCAATTATCTTGATAAACCTAACTAGTACAGTTTGAAAAGTTCTGATGAAGCCATACATTTCAGGAACGTTATTTTTTTCTCTGTCTTTTATTTCATCTCACATAACTTACAGTAGAAAAAGAAAATGTCGTGAAAATGTTCAATAATTTGTTTTTATTGATATTAACCAACGCATGTTATATCAACAGGTGACGGTCTAGTAACAGTCCAAGAAATAGCACAAAAATGGATCGAGGTTAATAAAATCATTTATTTAGTTATCTTTAATTATTTTAAGGATGATCAGTATTTAAAAGTTTTGGGAACTTTGGTGGCCTTTTTTTCATTGTAGATAAAAATTATAAAAGTAGAAATTAATTTAAATGTAATACTTTTTATTATTCATTTCAATCTTTTTCTGTCCTTTCAACAATATAATAATTTATCATTTTTATTTTCCATAGATCGTCTTGGAAGCTCCACCCGCCGTACTGTTCGAGAGGTCTGATGTCAATTAGGACAACATACTCACAAAACACGAATTTTCACTCTACTTCTCCTCTTTTGATACAAATGGTAAAGTTTTTTCTCTATTTTGTTTTTCTAATTTATTCTTGTGTTTGGTTTTTAATTTTTTAATGGAGAATAAAAAAGAATGAAATTGATCTAGAAGTGGCACTTAATTAACCAGATTAACTTGCAGTAAATTATCAAATACATTTACCACCGAACAACTTTTATAGTGGAAATTAAGAAACATCACAAAGTACTTCCAGGAATTATATTGACTGAAAACACATTGGTTCCACTTCAATTTTGAAGCATCTCTCTGCAGGAGACCATAGCGTCACGAAAACTGAATTTGAACACGGCTGGGTCTCTCTCGGAATTAGTACCACGCCAGCAGTCATGGGGTAATCGTAATCGAGTAATCGTAATCGATTGTAATGATTACTTATTTTCAAGTTATCGGCAGATGTAATCAAAGATATTTTTGATTACTTGTAATTAGGGATGTTAATGAATATTCGAGTACTCGACTATCGTTCGATCATACCGACTATCGACTAAAAGGATGACTGCACTTAAGGACATGCGGAATTTGCGACAAAATAATCTTTCAAAACAAGCATTTTTCTTTTCATTGCAAGAATGATCAACATCCAATCTACAACTTTATGTAATTACGCTTAATAAAAGTGTGTATTTACGAAGTTCGAATCTGTTTTCAAAGGCAGGGGTCATCACAATTTCTTGAATCTCCGTTCAATAATGAGGACGCCCACTTTTTTACTGACTTTATACATAGTCAGCGCATGTTTGTCTATTGTTCGCCGTTTAACAGTAGTTGTATATTTGCATAAATAATAATGTATCAAAAGGAGATTAATAGACAAACATGCGCTCATGGTTAAAAAGAGAAAAAAATGCTTCTTCTTACATTCGCTCTCTGTGTTGTAACCAAGGATTGTGACATGTTGAATATTATAATTCACCACGTGATTTCTTACTTCAGGTAACTTTGTGAATACTAAATTCCGACACGTGACTTGTAAGGAAGCATGTTTTGTGCTAACTAGGACATTGTGTTCGAACACATTAAGTCATCTGGCATTGATATAAAATCTGCTTTAATTACATTGACGTGCTCATATTGTTAATTTCATTTTGAAACCTTTGTCAGAAGTGTATTTATGCCTTACAGAATGGAGAGGAGATTGGAAAGAGTGATCACATTCGCTTTTTCAAACATGTCATTGTTATTTATCAGCTGTTTACGTAGTCTAATTTTAGAGCCATTCTTACAATGTTAGCTCCACCTCTCATGCATATCTAATGTTCAATCAAGGGCAGGTAAGTGTAAATTCACTATATTTGGAAAGCAGTAAGGACAAAAAACATTGAATCATTTTATTGTATCACAGTCTAAAATCATTTTAAGATTAAAATGTGCTTCCAAATTGACAGTATTCTTTCATAAACATACAAAAGTGAGATAAGGTTTAGACATAAAAGCAGCACAAGCAACCGAAAAAGACCCAAAAACAGGCGTTAAGTGCAGTCATCCTTTCTTTAGTCGGTTATTCGTTAAAAATGTGTTACCTAAAAGTAATTTTAAATTCAAGAAAATAAACTTGGATTCGCCCATTTCATTTATATACAGATCAATGTTCTCAATGGTTTAACTGTTCAGAGGAAATTATTTGTATGTCGATTAATGTTCGGCAAATATGCCTCCAAAATCTACAGTTTTGGTATTATTATAATTTAAATGATGTCAGGATGGAAAAAAATAGTTAAAAGTACGTTATTTAGGTTATGTAAAACTGAACTCGAATTCTGCAGTGGAACATCAAATACAGTATGATGTATCATATGCCGAATTCGTCAAACATACATGTAGTAAACACAGTCTTCAAGTGAAACTTTTCTTAAGTAAGTAAAATGTTGCTATCACAAACATGATTACCACTTATTGTTGTAAATGGAGAGGACGTTCAAGAATTGTTTGGTTTAAGTTTGTAGATTCAAATTATAAAAGTTTCACCTGCAGTTCCATAAGATCTGACGTAATTCAACTATTCATAAAGAATAATTAAGCAGCTATTACAAAATTGTAAATACATGTACAGGTAAATTGGGGGACAGTTATGGTCGTAATTAAATGGTGTTTCTTTCTGATATAAATATCATGCAGTCATTTTAAGATTGTATTGATTATTTGCACAAAATTTCATAATTAAAATTTATCGCAAGCTCTCTCTGTTTTTATAAGAGGCACGCTTTAATTGTTTACCAGTCAAATGTCACTGACACGACACGTAGAAATGGCTTCAATTAACGGGTACATGTACTATCGTTATGAAAAGAAAGGACAAATACGAGCGTTTGATATCCTGCATTTAGATAAAATGTGCGGTAAATATTATATTAATTTTGAAATCAAATACATTGGATAAATGTAGATGTACAGTATTTATTGTACTACGTAAATGTTTAGTTTACAATTCGGAAATTCGTTATATAATGGTGATAGCGAAGGTTAAATATTGTACAACTAGTCTATAAAAGACAAACAGTAAAAATGACATGAAAAATTAATTTAAATTTCAACGAATATTCGACTATCGTTCGACTAAAGCCTCCGACTATTCGACTAAGCTGTCCGAATAAAATTGACATCCCTACTTGTAATCGTAATTCAATCGATTACAGGTAAAATTTTCAGTGTAATTTTAATTACTTTTTCGATTACTTTTGTTTACTTTATACATAAATGGTTGTTATTTTGGAGAATTGTTTCCAGTAATATCAAGTACAAACCACCAGTTAATAACTTTTATCATGTGGTAAATAAACTAGTAAGAAAAAATAAAATGGGAATACTTCATTCATTTCTGGTAATGTTCAAGCAACTTCAAAGTTATTTTTTAATAACACCAAAATTTGCCAATCATTTACATGTTTTCATTCATAACTATATTTTGTCACTGAGAAGTTGTGTCTGTATTTTAAAAGAGGGTCTAAGTGTATATTTATCTTGGCTAATTGGTTGGGACATCCCTGACTGCAGCTAATAAGGTGTGAACTAGATAGTGTTCGACTCTTATAACTGATAGCTCAAATGAAGATAAATAATATTATTAGAACAATTAATAGCTCTCAAACACTTGTTTTAACACAGAAAGTAATTGCTGCTGTTAGTTTTACTTAATTATAAAAGCACATTTAATTCAAATGTTTATTACTAAGAGTTCTAATTTATCTTTTCTAAAGGAATGTATTATGTGAACTGCCAATATGCAGCAGTCCAAATACTTAAAAAAAAAACAACAACAAAATTTTAAATATTTCTGCAACAAAAGTCAATGAATATGGAGGTTCAGACCCAAAGTTGAAAGAAATAATGAATTCCTTTGAGCATTTCATTGTAGGAACTATGTCTCCACTCCTCGTGGTAGAGAATCCCTCATTAAAACATAACTGTATTTTGTCAGCATTTTAGGTCAAAAATATGAAATTAAACCAGTAAAGACCTTAATATGCACTGAAACTGAACACAATGAATACACTCAAACTTCAGTGGATATATTTTTCTGCTTTGATGTTTGAGGAAAAAATGCTTGGAAGTAATCGATTCAGTATTAATGGATTATATCTCCCTAAGTAATTGATTACAATCAATTACAGGACAAAAAAGACTGTAATCGATCAATAATCGATTACACAAAATTTCTCTAAGTAATCGATTATTAATCGATTACATTTTCAAGTAATCGTGCCCATCCCTGCACGCCAGAATCTGACACTTTTTCCGCCGCTTTGGACACAGACAGCGATGGAAGCATCACAGCGTCACATGATCTGAACTCAAGATTTACCTCGCTTGATATAAATCGTTAAGTCACCCTGAATTTGAGACACCGGTACATGTTGAACTCCTGTCAATTATTTTCCATTGTATAGTGAAATGAGATTTTTTTCTTTATAAATCAAAATCCGTTTTTTAATACAAATAACTGTTCAAAATACAATTATTAGTGATAATACCGAACAGAGGAACAACTGTACAAAGGTGAACAGTCCAAGAATTCTCTACGGTATTAAAATATTGATAAAATTGTGAACCACCAAATAAAACTCCGCGCCATGGAACGGGGTTAGTTTATCACAGGATGTCATCTCTCTCCTGAATTTACGCAATACTTTTACAATTTATGCAAATAAATGGAATTTCAATCTTGACAACACATATGGAACCGCTCCATGTATAATCTATTCCTCTTTTGTAGATGACCATCACCTTATCATTTTGGAAGTTGTTAAGGTAATACACCAAATTATTCCAGATCAATATAAAAAAAAATGATATGATTTTATGCATTTTGTATATTTTTTTTTAATAATCATTATTTTTTGTTATTCTCAGATGGCAGCGCTTTTACCGAAACCTTCTCTACAAGGTTAATGTGATATTTTAATACACTAAAAAGCAGAATGTACTGGATTTTCAGACCCAAATTTGTAGTATTTCAAATAAATTACAGTACCATCTGTTGTCCTTGTTAATCTTTTTGTTACACAACAGAATGGATTCCAACACCACATGGCCGATATCAGCCATGTCATTCTACAGTTAGAATGACATTGCTATGTACAGTTTGCTTTGTCAGGTTACTCATTGCTTGAGTATAAAGTGTACAACGTGTACACCAAGATTTCAACGCTGCCGCGGCAGTCCCATTGCTCGGAAGATGTGAATTGTATACATGTGTTATTAATTGACAGTTTACTCCTATCTGCAATTAAAATTCTTTAAAACCATAAATAAGAAATCCCTGCATCTGGAAACAGAATATTCTGTAGCACAGTACTTTCTGTGATTTCTCCTTTATAGCAGTTGATCTATGAAGATTGGGAATCCAGAATAGGTACATGCAGGATAGATCGAACTCTTGGTTGACTGAAATGTTAAAAGTATTAAAGACTGAAATCTGATTTGAAGAATTTCATCCTTAGAAAGTGAATTTTGAGTATTATAAGTTAAATTTCCAGACGTAGAATCAGAACCAAGTTCTTATAAAATAGCTATGAAAATGAGTCTTACAAACAAAGACGATATTGTTACAAACTTTGTCTGCTCGTAGCATAACATTAAATATTATATATGCATGTACTTTTGAAACGCTTTATCAATTCTGACAAAGTGTTCAGGTCTTCCCCTTCAAATTTAGCCCAAAGTCTGACATAATCAAATTTGCTAATTCACCTTAGAGCTTAAAAAAATGACATTCATTGTCATTGAAAGGGGTGCGTATCATTATCGCTACATTTTCAAAATTGTCATTACCGCTACATACTCATTACCGCTACAAAAAGGTTACATTACCGCTACATTTAAACGTATACATTTCCGCTACATTGCCTCTTTCGATGCATGTACAGATTGATTTAAGGATATCCGATCCTCAGCCAGGAAGGATAACTCTTAAATTTATTATTTTATTTAAAAAGTCTCAAAATGAAGCTTGAAACTGAGATCTTTTCGTGCAACAATTTTCATTTTATGCATCTTAATATGATTCAAGGTTCTTTGAAGTCTTAGAATCTTGTAAAAAGTTGACATTTGTACCCCATAAAAGAAAAAAAATGAATTCATTTTTAGAGGAAATCGAATTTCCTTTAGTCTAGCATTAAATTCCACTGCTTATTAGCATGATATGAAATTAGATGTGATACCGGTATGTGATGTCTAGCAATGATAGCACAAGCTTTTTACACTAAAATACTGAACAAACGTAAAAAAGATCCAATTTTCTCCAAATGCCTGGATACCTGTATTTTTCTATTCTAAATTATATTTTTTGATCAATTTTCAATTAGAAAATGCAGAACTGGTGTTTTTATTCGCATTTCCTGAAAATGTATTTGAGATTTGATAATTTTCCCTACATAATATGATTAACTATAATGAAGAACTTTAAGAAATTCCATGGGTAAATTCACGTTAGTATGTGAAATCAGATACATTTTGTGAGCATTTTCAATATACTTATAAGCTGATTTTCAGAACCTGAGGATCGGACTACCTTAAAGCACAACATTTACATCCATAAGACATGTTTCCCCTGCTCACCACGGGGAGGTGAAAGTAAGACTTTGAGCAAAATGTGTTTGGTTTTTGTTTTCAATTTTTAAAATCTATTTTATTTAATAAAACATTTAGAAAGTGTTAAAACCGAGCATTGTTCATGGATAAAACACACAGTCTTTTAGCAATTGATAGAGCTTTGAAGGTCATTTGCTTGACGCACTGCTGTCTGGAAATCTCTAATATGAATTATAATGGGTAGAATTTATATTCTGTGCCATTGCTGGCTGATTCGATATGTAGCGGTAATGAGTTGTAATCGGCAATGGTATTTTTGATAAAATGTAGCTGTAATGATCCGAAATTTCGAAGAAAAGTAGCGGTAATGAGTTGAAATTTTTCGCAATGTAACGGTAATGTTGACCTCCCATTGAAAGAGTCCATTTATTTTAATTTATACGTACTCGTATGTATTAAGCAAAAAAGAATAATATTTAATTTTTGAAAAAAAATATCATATCTGAATACGCATTGCATGCGCCAAATTGCTTAAAATACCGACAATAAATATATCCAGATTTACAGGTATCAAAAAATATTTTTGTATTTGATAAACGAGTAATGGATTCGAAACTAATTACTCATTTTTTGACGAGTTATAACATATGTAGTCTGTTATAACAAATTTGTTGAATTCTTTCAAACAGATTTTTATTTTTGAAATTTGTTATGGCTTATATTTAATTGAGTGATAACAGATTTCATAATTTTAAAATATTCCCTTCGTTTCTACGGATTTTCAAAACTGTTACAGCATTTTTTAAAATCTAATCTGTGGTTACAAATTAAAGTCAATATCATGAATTTTCGAATTCGTTAAAACTACTTCAGTTCGTTACGACAAATGTTTAATTCATTATAACGAATTTAATCTTTGATAAGAAATAATTTTGTAAATTGTTGTAACAAATTTAATAAGTTCGTTGTTACATGTACACATTACATTCTTACAGAAGCATATTATGACCTCAAAAAATATTTCTTGATTTTTTCTAAATAAGTTTCCGTAGTTTTGTGTTTCTATATTTTTTTAAAGAAATATTTTTAATAATTTCATTACATTTCAAGAACTAAGAAAAGGTGGATTTATATAGAGTCAAAATATTAAATCTGTGGAGAACAAAGACTGTACACAACAATTTGCCGTTGAGTCGGTATGCTGATCCCATGGAATAAATGACCTAACTGCATGCTGAAAAGAAAATAGTACAATTGGATTCGAGGGTACATACAGTAACGATTACTTTTCATTTGATTTGAAGATATTTTGCTATTTTTAGAAGTTGAAGGAACTCACTATTTTTCCTGATGGTACGAGATTCGACCACTCCCGCATTACATAGGGCGACCGTAGCTTTAGAGTCTCCATTAGCGTCCTTATCTCCCTTTAATAAAACAATCACTCTTTGGTTCCCTGCATTCATCTGTTTGCCTGAACAAATACACAAATCTTTCTTAAAACCAAACCAAGTAAAACCAAACTCAACTTATTTTATTTTTCTTACAATCCGGAAGACAGGCCACTATGAGAGGGAGATGGACATTCATATATACTGTTTTCATCAGCATCTACATGTAGATATTTGATGCGTTGCGTAAAATAACATGTCAGCGTTTAGTTCAATTAAGAAAACAGTTTTTAATCCTATTTTGGATTGATCGTAAATCTTACCGCTGTTAAATGTTATCTTGTAGGAACAACTGCTCAATTTCTTGTATTTCATACAACGGTAAACGACGAAGTCCAGTCCGTAAATAGTTACTGGAGGAGAACTATAGAAGAAGCAAAAAGAGGACGCTTCAATGATCTAGCTCTCTTATAATTTGACAAAGATCTAAAACGATGACTTGTATTTAAGGTCAAAATTCGATAAGCTTCATAGTGGCGATTTGCTAAGTTTACCTACGCCAGTAAAATTTGGTCAGTGTCTTCATCCACACAAGTCCAGCTATTGACACTTCTGCCAAATAAGGTCACGTCCCAACCAGTAACTCCCGAGGACTTGAAATCCACTCCTTTGTTTGTGCTCGAGTCCGTCCAATCACCGGTCAGGTCTGACGGGAAAGATGTACAGGCCAAACCTAAAGTTATATTCAAAATATTGTGACACACATGCAAAGATTTTGCAGAAAGGAATCGGCTCACTTACATACAAAGGCATTAGAGGAGGGTGTTACTTAATTCTACGCCTATTCTTATGCTAGTTCGGCCGCATGCATCCCCCAGGCCTTCTGTTTTATTAAAGATTCAATTATGTATTGTATGGCAAACATGCAAGACCTAAAATTAAAATGGAACTAGACCAAACAGTGGCAAAGTAAAATGTGAAAATTAAAGGTTTAATTGTTACATGGTTCATATAATCAATGAACTAAAAATATTAAGTGTCCAGTTGTCATATATTGCGAACACCTTTGAGAGACATTGACATACTTCAGCAGTCAGTAAACATGAGTAAACATAATTACTATTCTTATTCAATAAGAATTAGGGTTGGGGGTAAAAGGAATTACATTTAAACTTATCATTAAGAAAAACAGAAAAAAGAATTAACCAATTTGACATTAACAATAGATATACCAGCAGATTTTATATATACTCACATGTAGTTACAAATGGCAAAAGAAGGAAAAGTGAACACTGTTTCATCTTTGTCCTCCTGTTAAAAAAATGTAACCTCCGTTTTAAAATCATATACTAATGCTCTAAAATCTAAAAGAGTTTTAAGATTTAACTTTAGCGAGTTAAAAAGTTGAAAACTCACTTGTAATGAAATATACAACCAAGCCTTCTAAAAACGTGTATTACCTTGTTTGTTTCGATTTTACATCTAACTTGCAGGATTTTGCAAGACTCAATTACCCTACAAAGTATTAGAAAAACGATTAAAGGAAAACATAATGCGGATGAAGTATTCTTTAGGTATGTTATTCCGACCAGTCATAAACCTGATGAAATTTCCTTGTGGATGTTTACCTGTTATAGTAAATATACAGTGTCAAAAACTCGTCTAAGATCACAAAATAATGTAAGAACCTGTTCAGAATTCGCTTTAAAAACAGATGGATTAAATTTTCCCACCATATACATCTTTTATTTTAATCGTGGGAAGCTGATCAATGTCTGGAAAATGCTTAAGGACATACGCTACTGATAATTTTTCACGATATTCTTCATTTAAAAGTATAGTACCATTAGATGTTCGCAGACAAAAAATCAGCATGCATTACCAGGAGTTTGGATAGATATCAAATGGTGAAAATTATTGTATATTATTCAAAGAAAAATATACAAAAATTTCTAAACATATATTCAAGATGTTTTTTAATCTAAATTTGCTTTAGAAGAGGTGTACAGCACTATATTTAGACATTTAAAGAGTAGCACACAGGTTCTTCAAGTATTGGAACTCTTCAACTCCAGGGGAAAAGACTAAAATGTTCAAACTACGTTGTAGGTCCTTAATTTTTAGTACACACAGCACTATAATTTAAACACTATTAAACCTTTGCATAATTTTGTGAACAATGATAAAAACTTGTGTTATTTTAAACCATGTGTAAAAGGAGAGGTCTCCCCACCATAGTTTCTAATTCATTTTAAATTCAGATGATATTTACGGGAATAAAATGTGTCTCTGGAAATACGTGTACCTGGAAAATCCTCCATATGAGAAGTTTTGTATATATGTAGATAAACATAATCCATTTTTGATTATCAGATTTGACACAACTCTTTCCCTTCTTCCTTTTCAAGACGACTCCGCTTTACCGGGAAATATATAAACAGGAAAACTGATCTTGAAATTTGGAATTTTCGGGTAGTGATGTAAATGTGAGTGTCGTTTTGGCTCTTTATTTCTTCTGCTGTTGTTACCAGTCTATATTATGAAAATATGAGCGTTTCTTCATTTCTCTTTGACAATGTTAAAATGTAGCTGTTGTACAAGCGTAAATTTTCAACTTTACATAAGATAATTGGGAATATTTTCCTTGGAGTTGATTGACCTTTTTCATCAATAATAAAAAAGTCTTTACTGGTTTGAATTTAGTCAAACATTGTATATTGATCAATATTTTTCACAAATTAAAAAAATTGTATATTTATTTATCTATTTAGATTTATTTATTTATCGTAAATATTCCGGGGAAAACGTTGCCACCATTTTTCTTCATTCACCTTTTTGATTTTATAATAGTAATCAATGTTTTTCTTCCTTATCTACTGCTTATTCATAAATACTATACCTTCAAACGTTTAAGCGATGCGTAAATGCTGTCATGGCTGACTTTAAGAAAACTAAATCTCGAAATATTAGAAAAAGACGTAAATCTTCAGAAAGCGACTCTGATTCGTGTGAAGAAGATTCTGTTGGGTATGTTCTTACAAATTCTTCATTTGGTGCTGTATTTTTCTTAAAATCTCAGCAATATTTACACCGTTAGTTATCTTTAAAAAAATATTCAGAGATAATCCATTATAATTTGCAGTAAATTATGAACTAAATGTGATTTTATGATCATGACCGTTGAAGAAATATGAATATCAGATGTTTGAAAATGAAATATTTAATTCTTTAAGCACAAAAATCCAGGATATAAAAGAACTACAGAAATTGAGAAACAAACAGAATGGAGTTAATGCTACAGCTCTGGCACTGGGAAAGAAAATTTCTAAGGAACAAGCTCTCTCAAATGTAAGACAAACTATAGTCAAGTAAAGTTCGTAAAAGATGTGGCATATGCCTGTCTCACGACCTTTTAGTCAAATTTGTATATTATCAATATTTCTTTAAATCGTTCAGACATTGTTTATATCAAAATATATCCATATGCATTGTGTGCTGATTTGGAATATGGAAAGAAAAAATCTTTTGTCTTGTATGTTTTCCTTTTATTGATTTAAGTCAATTATAATTTTAATTTATTCTCTGTTCTATATCAATTGTAAAAAATATTTTTATGCATGAATTGTAGAGTGACCCATTCAAACTGGAGACTGGTGGCATGGTTGATATGAAGGCATTGAAGAAAAAGTATATCACTTGAAAAATTGCTAATTAATAAATCTTACATATTAAATAGAGAGCGTTTGATTATCATTTTCACTGCCCGAAAAATGTGATTGTACGGACATACATTCATGCATACATATATATAAGATTTCCAGTTTATTCAACTTGTATACTTGTATTCATGCATGATAGCAAATGAATTGTGATATATTTACAGGAAACTATCAACAGAAGAAGTAGAAGCCATTGGTACAGCTTTTGCAGCTGAAACAAACAGAAGAGATGAAGACACAGAAATGTTGGTTTCTGTTGATATGTATTTAATTTGCTGTCAAAACGTGTTAACCAGTGCATTTCACTGTATAATAATTAATGCATCTGCGTAATCCATGCAAAAAAGATTTTCTTTTAAATAAGTAAAGGATAATCAGAACTTTTCAAATCTCTATTGAAATAAGATAATTTATGAATGTTAGTTGTGAATTCGAATATTTGAATTTAGCTGTACTTAAAAAAACACTGTATATTTTTTTTTCCTGATAAAGGTTGAAGTATGTAGAGGTGGAGTTAGCAAGGAGGAAAGGTCACCACAAGGAAGAGACACCAGTAAAAGGGTACACCAGTAAAAATTACTTATGATCCCCCCCCCCCCCCCCCCCCCTTGAATTTTTGTGCTTGCTTTTTGTGCCAAAATTCATTTTTAGCTCACCTGAGCCAAAGCCTCAAGTGAGCTTTTCTGATCAAAATTTGTTGGTTGTTGTTGTTGTCGTTGTAAACTTTTCACAATTTCATCTTCTTTTCCAGAACTACCGGGTCAATTTTAACCAAACTTGACACAGAGTATCCTTGGTTGAAGGGGATTCAAGTTTATTAAACTAAAGGGCCACATCTCCTTCCAAGGGGAGATAATTATGAATTGGTGAAAAATTAATGGCATCTTTAAAAATCTTTTCAAAAACCACTGGCTTAGAAAATATGAAACTTATGTGGAAGCATCCTTAGGTAGTGTAAAATCAAGTTTGTTCAAATCAAATTATAGGTGGGTTGGGACCACAATGGGTGATCAAACTTTTACATAGGAACACATAGAAAAAATCTTTAGAAGTCTTCTTCTCAAGAACAGCTGAGCCATGATGGGTCATGTTTATGTGGAAGAATCCTTAGGTAGTGTATTAAAGTTTTATGTAGGAATACATAGGAAAAATCTTTGAAAATCTTGAGAGAACAGCAAAGCCATGATTAGTCATTAATATAGAAGCATCCTTAGGTATTTTAAATTCATATTTGTTCAAATCACGACCCCCCAGGAATAGAGAGGGGCCACAACAGGGGGTCAAAGTTATACAAAGGAATATAAAGGATATGTCAATAAAAATTTTCTTCCAAAAACAGCAAGGCCATGATTAGTCATATTAACTCCGAAACATCATCAGGTAGTGTAGATTCAAACGTTTTCAAATCATATCCATGGGGTAGGGTTAGGCCACAATAGAAGATCAAACGTATAGGAAAAATTCTTGAAAAATCTGCTTAAGCTATGATTAGTCAAAGAAATATGGAAGCATTCTCAGGTAATGTAGATTTAAGTTTGTTCACATCATCCCCCTGACCACTTTTATATTTGAACTTTTTAATACTGAACTGATTTCTGCTTTTTTCTAGTCATTGTGCTCAGGAGAGCAATATGGCCCATGTGCCTTTTGTTAGAGAATGTTGACTGATTTTCCTTTAATGTGAAAATTGAATACAATATATCAGCATACCAGTAAATATTTACATTTCCAAATATTTTTCCTTAAGATTCTTTGCAAATTAGAAAAAGTTCATGTTCTCATGAACTACCGTGGGATGAGGAAGAATATTTCTACTGTGATGTGATTGAAGAAAAAAAATAGTACAAACTTTTTTTTTTTCAAAAATGATCATTGATAACAAAAATATGTGACAAGTCATCAGAAAAATAATGCAAATATAAGATATGAATTTAATTTTTGAGAATTCATGAGGTACATGAACTACGACGCTTCACGCCGGCATATTTCATGAAGCACGTTAGCACTTCATGATAAATATGCAGGCGTGAACCGCTGTAGTTCATGTACCTCATGAATTCTCAAAAATTAAATTCATCTCTTAAATAAGAGCAGCATACATGGGGAACATCAATTTCCAAAAATCTCATTAACTTTTCAGAATTAATGCAGAAAAAAAATTACCCGGATAATCACCTTGATCACTGATAAAATTGATGAATTGCCAACATTCATGTACACTATTTTTTTCTGTCAGGCCCTCAAAAGAAGATGCTTTGTACAGTTTACCTGAAAATCTCAAAGTTGGATCATCGAGCAAAAAGACAGAAGACATGTTGTCAAATCAAATGCTCTCAGGAATACCTGAAATTGACCTTGGTATAGAGTAAGTACAGTACATGAAAATGGACTCTGGATAGAAATCATTAGTTTGAAATTTAATATTTAGTCCATATGAGATTTCTTTTTTGATAGCAATATGAACTGTTGTTATGCTGAAATAAAATTTCAAGTAAATTGTTTGTGATATGATAGACAAAAGCAAATATTGAAAGTGAAAATTTTATTTTTAGGGCCAAGATAGCCAACATTGAAACAACAGAGATAGCCAAGCAGAAACTTCTGATAGAGAACATGAGGAAGAAAGAGCATGAAGTCTCAGCCTTTGTCCCAACAAACATGGCTGCCAATTTTGTTCAGCACAACAGATGTATGATCATCTATAACATAATTCAGTTCTCATAACAAATTGATTGGAATGATGGAGAGGAATTGGGCTGAAACTCATAGCCTTAATTACTGTATACAGGGAAAATTTCGCCCCAGTTTTATTTTCGACCCTTTCGCCCTTGTCACAAGTGGGCGAATTTAAAATGGGGCAAATTTAAATAACACAGTATAATTTCTTAAACAGAACTATAACTGGGCAAACTTAAAACGGGGCAAAATTGATAGCAAGTGTAAAAGGGCGTAAATAACAAGGGGCGAAAATAACCCTGTATACAGTAGCTTGAATTAATATCTCATTTTTATACTGGTCAACCAAGAGTTGTCTCCTTAGAATGTATATTAACTCAGAAAAATTATTGAACATTTTCATGAAATAGTTCCAGATTTTTAGTTTCTCAAACTAGAATTTTGTTAAAATCCAAAGTATGTGCTAGATAGAGTTATCTTTCTTTGCTGATACCCATTGCCTCACTTGGCTTGACATGAATTCTATACTTGTTGAACAAGCATCATCTCCTTGGCTAATATATATAAATCAACTCAGATTATTATTGATAAAATTTTTATATGACAGCTTCTGGATTTCTTTACCATAGAAAATCTGGAGTATATTCTATATACATGTAGCATTATATAGCATACATGTACTTGATTCTAACAATTCAGTGTGCCCAAGTTACACTGGGAATGACTGGCCACACACTTGATTGTGAGCCAGCTGTGCATGCATCAAGCTGGGTGGCCTGATTGAACCAGAAAAATTTGATAGGCTCAGGCAGCTTCAATATGGTCTTCTTTGAGATACTGGTATTGAAATGTTTGAAATTGGTATTGTCATGAAGCTTTTGATTTAGGTATTCTGGTGAAATGAACATGATTGTAGAATTGTAGTCCTTTTCTAGGTAACTTTTTTTACTATAGAAAAAAAATATTTCCTTTACTGCAAATTAGTCGGGGTTGTTGATTCTAAGCATGTAGCTGGGTTTACCCGGATTAGTTCGATTCAGCTGAATTCTATCAGAATCAAGTATGCTAAATATTTTTCTTTCGTACAGTTTTTATGTGATAGCTTTTAATAAAAGGATTCAGAAGAAACAATTTTTATATACAATCTTAATATTCTTTATATACAATCTTAATATTCTTTACTACGCCGAAATATGGCTGAAATATTGCCGACTCGGCGTAAAACAATAACAATCAATCAATATTCTTTACTAAATGAGATAGGAGGTACATTTTATATTTATTATTGCAGTCAACATTGAGGACACAGCTCCAATACTGAAAAAGCCTGAGGAGGCCCCCAAACCAGAACCTGTCAGGGTAGGGGATGTGGACAAATTAAAGAAAGTTGGTAAGTACAAAAAAAAAAAATAAGATTAATATTCATTTTAATTAATTGCCCTTAAGTCAAATTCCTCACCAATGTCACTTTGCTCTTCTTCATAAATGAACAATCATTCTGAGAGTATTGCATAAGCAATACTATTCCACACTGGCAAGTGTAACCTGGTTCCCCTTAAAAATTAAAAAGGTCATATATATTAGATGGACAATTACAGAGGAAACCTATAGTCACCTCCCGGTTTCACCAGTAGGGGACTTGTAAACTTGTCTTTCTACAGAGGGTTCCTTTTAATTCAATAGTCAAGTTGTCTTGGAAAGTTAATCAGAATAGTCGAGAATTCCATCAGAACCACCTTTAACTCCATGTATTCATCATTTCAGTTTTATGTTTACACTTTCAGTTCATTTCATTACTACGTCTTGATTTGAATCCCCCTGAATCTGCTCAAAGTTAGATTATTGAATTGTCGCATTATACCTAATTACTGGTATTAAGAAATGTACATGTATCAATTAGTATTTAAACTATTCCACAGAAAAGGGCTCCAAAGGAACAGAGAAAGCCACAGATGACTTTCACTACGAGAAATTCAAGAAACAAATGAGACGGTACTGAGAATCTACACAAATCTGAGATGTTCATAATCATCAGCCATCTCACAGAGTGAAAGAGAACTAAGTTTATTGTCTTCTGTCCATAGTTTCTGTTTAAATCTTGTAATTGAAGGCAGAAATTCAGCCAGCAGTGATGGACTGTTTGGAGGACTTGTGAAGTTCCATTTTTGTTATTTTATTGTCATATGTATATATCTCAAATAAATCAACAACATTTCCCCCCCCCCCCCCCCCCCCCCCCCCCGATTTTGTACATAATTGTTACTGATGCAATCTGAAATGTAGAATATTATACTGATGTTTTTTTTTATGGATTTCAAAACTGTGTAGTAAAAGGGAAACATGATTAAGAATTTCAATTTCCTTTTATAAAGGACTTCCTATGTTACTTTTAGCTTCACTTTTGTTAAAACAAATTTCCACTTGTGCTATTGAGAGAAAAAAAGCATACAGGTACAGGTCCAGGTAAATTAAAGAGAATGAATTTCTCACAAATTGGACAATATCTCCCAATTTTTTTATGCCCTCTCATCATAAATTTGGGAGGATATGTTTTTGGTCTGTTTGATTGGTTTGAGCTAAGGATTTCATTATTTTACATGTATTCCTTGTGACAAGACACTTTTTACCTTAACATTTGACCTTTTTTCTTCTTCAAAAGAATAACCTTGGTGATTAGCTGCCATGTAGGGCCATCAGTGTTTCACAAACACATCTAGCTTTTTCATTCAGAAATATTATATAGCAGTGGAATATAAATTATAACTGATCGTTTATACATGTACCAGTAACATAAAGCCTACCTATCCAACAACAATCCCTCGGCTTTACATGACAAATTCAGTGAAAATGTTTTACATGTTACTGACAATGACAAGTTCAGTCATATCAATGTTTTAGATGTTTTATTCTCAATAATCTTCATTATCGACAGAGATACTGAAATAATCAGAAGCATTCAAAAAAGTTTGTATGTGTTAATGTGTCTAATGAACTTACTGAGCTACTTAGACATAAAAGAAAATTTAGGAAAAAATGTCCCATTTGATTTCAACACCAAATAAATCTGTGTATCTACTTTTGTAAGAATCAATGTGTATGACATTTATCACATTTTTTGAAATTTAATGAACTGTGTACATGTATTACATGTAATTGAAAATGAAAAAATTCTCTGACATGGCAAGATGGTCTACAGTGCATGAAAACTAAAGTTGATTGAATATAAAAATCGCTAATCACGAATTTTTCTAATGCATTATGAATGGCACTCTCAATGATAAAATGATAACAAGTATCTTAACAGTTAAGACTTCCAGTACGGTATAACATACCCTGTGAAAATCATTTAAACTAGGTGGGAAGATGCATAAAAATGTTTAACCTAAAATTCATTGGAATGGTGAACATAAGTATTATATATTACTTAATAGCTGGAGTGATGTGCTTGTTTATTAAATTTTTAAAAATAAATAATATCCTGCAGCTATTAAACCAAAATGAATTGTGCAATGATATATTGATATATTTACTTTAATATGTAACATCTAGTAAAAGTAAAATGGAATACATTGTATACTATTAAAATAAAAAAAAAATTTTGGGACTTCATCATGAACATGGATTAATTAAACAATAAAACAAACGCCATCAAGTAAGAATATCACAATAAATTATTATAATCTCATCAAATCCACCCAAATATCACAATACTTTCTTTGGAACAAATCAAGTACACCAAAACTTTTGTCTGTTACACACTCATGTAAAACAAGTATACCCTGTTATAAAGATACATGGGGATCATAAGACGATACAGACTCAAACTGTAACCCTATTCTCACCTCCAGAAGTGTGCAATAAATACTTGAAAATACATAAACAACTCTCATACCCGTACAGTGAGTAATATTATTCATTTGAAGCATTTTCAAAAAATCTTACAATTTTTAACAAGTGATAAAAGAGAAAAAAAAATTATTCAGATATCATAACATCAAAATCACTCAGATATTATCAAAAGACAAAAGGTAATAAGATATAAATTCATGTATTGATTGACTAGAGTGTCATATCATGGAAGAATCTGTGTTTGAATGCCTGTTATTCACGCTTTCAACACAGGAAAAAGGGGAGGGGGTAGACCATACATGTAAGTAATATGTGCTAAAGAAACATCATGATAGCGATGACTCCTACACTGGAATATCCCAAACCACATTCTGCAGTTAAAGATTATTCAATTTTTAAAAATTTAACTATGGATGTTACAAGCAATGTAATTACAGTAACTGTAAAATGAATTCTGAAAAAAGAGTATGAAAACACACCCTACCTACTACATCAACACAGTGTACTAAGTATTTATCAATTCATGTCTTGACAGACAATCATGTATAAAACCTACAAGCTCTCAAACTCTTATGCTTGAAACAAATAGCAAAGGCATACAAACACCCAATTAAGGATGACTTTATAATTCAATAATATTGTATAAATATTGAACATGATTTATAAGAAAAAAAAATCACCAGATTGTCATTGAATGCTTTTCTATCTAACACCAGTCTGATTCAGACTCATCGGAATCATTATTCAATGGAATGTTACTATCACTACGCATTTCCAATTTCTCCGGCTTCTTTTTACGAGCTTTAATCCCATTAGGCACTGTTGGGGAATGTCTCTGTCTGCCTCTGTTTACACTAGAACTGGGCTCTTCAAATTCACTAGCCAGAAATTTAGTTCTCTCACTCGAGCTTTTATTAACATCTGGTGAGTGACTACTGGACCTAAATTTGTTGAAATTGGACCGATCACGATTCCATTGATCACCATTATTAGACCGTCGCCCCACTTGGGGTAAAGTCTTGGAATGACTTGAAGAGGGGGCACTCACTTTATTGAGATTGTTCCTCTCCGTGGGGCTATAAGGTTCTGGCCTCCCAAACTTTCCTGGGGGTGGGGGGTAACTGGAGATGGGGGGAGGAATGTTTTTATTTTTGGGCTTGTGTGTGGGTGATGGGTTTAGTCTAGGAAAGTTAATATTTCCAGGAGATTTCACCGATTTAGGAACAGTAGGGGAAGGCAACACTCTAGGCATGTTTTCTTTCAATTTTGGTTGAGCAAGATTAAGAGTTGAAGGCTTGACAAGTGGCACACTTGGAAGTTTTCTTGTCTGTTTCTTGGGAGGTGTGGAAGCGGGGCTAGGACTACGAGACCTGTCAGTCAAATTGGCGGTGCCATAGTACTCCTGAAGGGGGGTCTGTGAGGGAGTTGTGTTGGGAGAGGGGCTTCTTGATCTGGTCTCCAGTGATGTGGATCTATAAAATGTGCTGTCACGGTTGGCATGTCGTAATGGCTGTGGACTAGGTGATGGGGAACACACTACCTTCTCCTGAGAGATGAGTGGGGGTCGACGAATCAAACTTTGGAGGCGTTGGGAGGGAGAGTTGGGTAAACTCATACTCAAACTGTCGTCATGGCGTGCTCCTGGCAAAAGAAGAATGTAAGAAAAATGATATAATAAATGACAAGTTCAGAATATGAGACAATCTTAACAAAAGATCAAATAAATTAATGAAAATGAATAAAGTTCATCAAAATTAAAAATCTAATAAGAAAAAATTGGAAAGAATGACCCAACTCTTAATTACACTGATAAATATTATATAGTTTACACCAACATAATAATTTCATGCTAATAAAACCCAAGTAAAAAAAATCTGAGGCCCAAGGGCATTAATGGTCATCTGAGTAAAATACAACTCTGTAAATGATCCATAGAAGTATAAAATAAAAAAAAAAACCCTGATAGATGGAGCTATGTTGCCCAAAATCAAGAGAAATATGATAATCTGGTCAACAAAATAATTATTCTGGTACTTGGTAACTTATCTTAAAGTAGATCTGTTTACTTGTCTGTACTTGCCCCTATTTTTCACTGTCACAATGAAGACTACACAAAACAATAGTGCTTGAGCATTATTAGTAATCCCATCTCATTTCCTCTGATATTAGCCTCTCTTGGTCATTGAAGAACATTTAATGTACAAAGATAAGGTATTTTTGTCTCATTTTTTTTATTCATCCATTATTTACAAGTCTACCTGACAATTAAAAACTATGAAGGTACTTTTTGTACTATATAATATAAAAACTCTTGTATCATTGTCTTATTCAAATGACCTTTCAATTAAATTACATGTATTCACAGTGATTAATTATCATAGGTGAATAGCAAAGGGGAATAACTTCTCTCAGTAGAATACAAATTAATTTAGCCCTGTCCAGCACCAGAACATTTTACCCAGTGGTCCGGAATTTCAAAAATCAGGTAAAAATACCCTTGCTTATTACAAATCTGTACTCTGTTTGCCTCCTATAGATGCTCAGGAGATTTTCAAAAAAAAAAAAAAAAATTTCACTATAGATTCATCACAGCCCCACCTAACACCAGAACCCCTGACACAGGGCCACAAATTTCACAATTTTGGAAGAAGCACCGTTGCTCATCATAACCAAGAATCTATTTATCTGCTAATTATACAGATAGAGAGAATATGATAGATAAAGAACTTATGCATTTTCACTGTTTGATCATCAGAGCCCCACCCTAATTCCAGAACCTGTGACCTTGGGGCCACGAGTTTCATAATTTTGGTCGAAGGCTCAATGCTTATTACAATTATGCAAACAGTTTGACTGCTTGATGTCCAGGAGTAAAGAAGAAGATATTTAAAGATAGCACCAATTTTAATGGTTTTAGCTCCACCCCTTGGGCCTGGGGGGGGGGGGGGGGGGCATGAAATTCACAAATTTTGTAACCTTCACCCATTGATGCTATATGCCAAAATTTGTCGATATTGGTTCAGAGGTTCTAGAGAAGAAACTGAAAATGTCCAAAAGTTTACATCAGATAAACGACTAATGTCGCATGATGACAAATGAACACAGATATCAATAGGTCACCTGAGTCACTCAGGTGACCTAAAAATGGAAAAATTATTAACTTTAATTTTTGTGTCTTAAGTTTTGTTACTTTGTTCTCTTTTATTTGTACTCCATACATTCAAATAGTAAATTACGTAATGCAGGGGAAATTTTCTTGACTGTTTGATAATCATGCTTTTCAAAACATTAATTTGAAGAAAAAAAAATGAAATTACATGGTATAACCAAGACCTTCAGATGTACAAATAAAAAAGCCCTTCAATCATACAGGTATCAGTAATTTTTTTAGTGAAATATTACCACAGTCCACTGAATGTTTGCTTCCCATTCCTCTGAGAACAAAATCATATTATCATTATTATAATGAATAGTGTAAACACGCATCTCTAAAATCAAAGGGGGAAAAAGTGCAACAAACTTGTAATTCTGAGTGTGTAATGTGTGGGATCAAAAAAATCTCTCTTATGTCCAAGATTGATGTGATAAAGGGTTCCACTACAAGAACTATTTTTAGTTGAACTGATTCTGGCTTTCTAATTTTAACAAAAAATGATTACATGTGACTGATTTCAGCTTAGAATATGAGAGATGAGCTACCTATTCCATATCTTTTAAGCTTATCCTGCTCTGAGATATAATGAGCCTGATCCACAATGTTTGAAACAGCTGACGCAAAGCCATAATCTCCACCACGCCTTGGGGACATGGACCGTCGCCCCACCAGAGGAGAGGATGTGGGGGAGTGGAAGGCTCGAGGCATGATGGGGGAGCGTGGAGACAAAGGAGAGGCTGGCAGGGAGGGGGACTTGTTACCCGAGCGTAGTGAGAAGTCCGATCCAGCACGAGTCATATTGGTGTGTCCTGTGGCATGCTCAGGTTTGAGTCCAGAGGAAAAGTCCTGCCCCATTGACTATAATAAACAAAACAGTTACTTATTTATTACTGTCCAAATATAATGAGGCAAAGGTTATATGTATTAAATGTATTTAGAGTTTTATTGTATTACTAAAGCTTAATACGTAAATACAGAATTTGTTACAAATCAGTACATGTAAATGTACACACTGAATTTATCTGGCATTAACAAGACAATTTGAAATAAATAATTTGTGGAGTAAAACAGGTCAAAGAATCAATTTATATCAATTTACTGCCACCACCACCACCACCACAAAAAAATATTAAAAATTAAACCTGTAGGTACTACTTGCAAATATCAAGTTCACCAAAGCTATATACACTGTACATGTATATATAACCTATAAATACCATCTCAATACCTGCACAGATTACAACTTATTTTAGAGAGAGGAATTTTTTTAAGATAGAAAAACTGTTGTCCTGCATAAGCATAAACAATACCTGTACTTTAAAAATCTCTTAATCAAAGCCCCATTGCCACCACCACCTAGGCTACCCCTAATTACAACCCCTAACTTTAATTCAGCCTAAGCTAATACCTCCATGGGTTTGTAGTTTGGCCCTATGAAATGTACCCTACGTTTAAGATTAGCAGGTGATGAAATGGGAGATATTTGGTAATCTTCCTCATTCATTGTAAATGTTGTATTGATGTACCACGGACCATCTTGTTTGCTGTTTGCCTATACAATTCCAAATTCATTGCAATGTACATAATTTTTCCAAGATCTATCACATCACAACTTCAAAAAATTAATCTAGCAGGTATTTTATAACATATAATAATATCTACATCAAAACATGTGGAGCGTATGGAATTTCTACAAGCCCCAATTAGCTCACAGATACTAGGATTAACTTCCTTGTCTTACAAATTACTTTTAGCTTTCCCCTATCTACAGTAACACACAATTATAGGGAATAGGTAGACAGGTGATACTGCTTCATTTTACAATGTATCTGATATCTGTATTACATTTAGAAATTTGTTATTTTTTCAAAATTTCACTGGGAAAAAAAAGTATGAATTTGTTACATTTCTGTTAGCTACATGTATAAACTATTTTTAACTCTCTTGATGCAAGGTAAAACTTGAATTCCTCTATAGATATTGAAATTCCTGACCTGCACACTGGTGGCATCCTGATTATCTTTCTTTTTCTTGCTGCTGTTTCTTCTTAAAAAGCTAAAAGATCGATTCCATGAATGTCTATCACTATAAAAAAGACCATAGACAATGTTTGAATAAAAAAAAGAATCATACTTTAACAATGTGTTTACATTTGTTCTTAGAGTCACATTATCTCTGCTGTGTAAATGGAAATGCATAGTACATGTATTAATGATGAGTTATTTTACCACAAGATAACTTTTCAAAACCTATTGACCTTCTGTCTTTATATTTGTTACTGTCAAACATTAACTCTTTACATGTCTACCTTTAAAAATCCTAGTATCCATCAATGTTTATCTTTTGTCCCTTTTTGTTATCGTTTACCCCTTCATACTCATGACTATCTTTTAACCCATGAATACTTATATCTACATTATTATTCTTCATATCATGTGAAATATAACAACTGTCTATCTTTTACCCCCTGTAATCAATATCTGTCTATCCTTTATCCCTGTTTTTCACATTTGTCTTTTCTTATATCCCTGAGATCTGTCTATGCTTTACCCTTTTTATCCACATTTGTTTATCCTTTACCCCTGTTATCCATATTTGTCCATCTTTTATCCCTGTTATCCACATCTGTCTATCCTTTACCCCTGTTATCCAGATTTGTCTATCTTATACCCCTGTTATCCATGTCTATATTTTACCCCCATTATCTACATTTGTCTACCCTTTATCTTTGTTATCCACATTTGTTTATCCTTAACCCATATTATCCATATATATTAATCCTTTACTTCTGTCCACATTTGTCTATCTTTTATCCCTGATATCCACATCTTTCTTCCCTTTTCCTCTGTTATCCACATTTGTCTATCTTTTACCCTTGTTACCTCATTTGTTTATCTTTTATCCCTGTTATTTGTCTATCTTTTATCCCTGTTATCCACATTTCTCTATCCTTTACCCTTGTTATCTGAATTTGTTTATCTTCTACCCATCTTATCCACATTTGTTGTTATCCACATTTAACTATCTTTTATTCCTGATATCCACATCTGTCTACCCTTTTCCTCTGTTATCCACATTTGTCTATATTTTACCCTTGTTACCTTATTTATCCTTCTGCCCTGTTATCCACATTTGTCTATCTTTTATCCCTGTTATCTACATCCATTATCCTTTAACCCTGTTATCTATATTTGTCTTTTACCTACGTTATCCCCATTTGTCTTTTACCTCTGTTATCTACATTCATCTATCCTTTAACCCTGTTATCTGTATTTGTCTATCTTTTACCTACGTTATCCCCATTTGTCTTTCACCCCTGTTATCCATGTCTATCGTTTACCTACTGTATCATTTTTTATCTTTTACCCCTCACAACCATTATTATTGATTTATTAATTTTTCAATCACTACTGTCTATCTTTTAGCACTAATACTACATGTATTTGTCTACCACTTATTCAAATTTTATCTTTGTCAATTTTATCTCTTATAGCTACATTTTTTTTGACCTAGATATACATCAATTAATTTACCTATTGCCTCCATCATATCCCCCATCATCTGAGTGCTCTGAATCATGATTGAGGCTGGTGTCTGACCTCCGTGAGGGAGCTTTTACCACCCCCAGCATTCTCTTGAAGAAGGAAGGGGGTCTCTGTAGAAAAAGACAGAAATCAGTGTTAGAGTCAACAGAACACATAGTCACTGATATAGTTCTCCAACAGCTAACTATAAACAACAAATGCAGATATCTGAAACTAAATCATACAAAAATAGTCAACAAGAAAACTAAAACTGTATTGTAGTAAATAATACTACTTATTATTAAAGTAGACTTCAATGAAAGTACAGAATTCCAAGTTGAATAAAAGGTCTAAAGACAAAATAGTAATGATAAGAGAAAAGACAAAATAGTGAAGATAAGAGAAATATATTGAATTCATGGAATATGGAAATATAGAAAACAAAAGAAGTAGAAGAAATAAACAAAAATAAAAAAAGTACCTGCATTTATTGCCGAGTTCTTGGATGACACTGATGTCGTAAGTGCCATATATAGACCCTTAATATTAATATATTAGTACCAGAAAACCAGATAAAATCCAGGAATTATATATGAATACCAAACCCTAAAAGCCACTGGTTGCTAAGTTTGCTTTAAACTTAGACTAAGAGAAGCAAATTTTTGAAGATTTTGTCAAAGAAATTTACTGTGGGGAGAGAGATATATTTTGTAATATGCATATTGATCAACTACTACATTGTAAATTGTTTACACCTTATTGGAAGTGTAATGAAAAATTAGTAATTAACTGTATAATTGTATTTCTAGAGCTACTGTGTTAATATTAAAAAGATGGAGACAGCTGTTGCTTCTAACTCTTAATTATATTTTTCTTTTATTAATGAATCCTAAAAGTATATATTGTTTATAACCACGTGCTATGATAACTGGTGCTGTACATGAATCTAAATTAAATGGAAAATCAATTTTAAACATAACCATTATACAGTCCCAAACTTCATGCACGTTGACCACTTTAATCAATTTTCAAAAAAAAAAAAAAAAAAAAAAAAAAAATCACTTATCAATTAAAAAAACCCCAAATACTACAATATGTAAATTTCTAAGTGAAACAGATTTAGTGCAAAAAATAGTGAAAAATAAATTATGAAAAACAAACTTTAAACCATGTATGAATTCATCTAAGGTACAAATTAGTGTGTATATATTATGTGCGTATTGATTGGAGGCAGTGCTGATTAAAGAACTAAACTTTAACCATATGAACACAAGGTGGTGTGAGTATTGATAAAAGAACAAAAAAAATTCCCCCAAACCCTCCAGTCATCACATGACCTTCCTGGTCTAAATCCCAACATAAATAGCTTTAATGTATCTGTAATAGTAAAGACCAGTTTCTGTGAAGAAAACGTGATGACTACAAAAGACAGATCCATCAATTAGGATAGTATGCCAATTTTTTTTTGAAGGATATTGAATTATTACATCTGGAAACAAAATTCAGTCAGCACTGTAAAGCTGATTAAAATTTTTAATATTGTGATAGCTTTTGGAACATGTGTTATTTCTAGTTTTCCTTCTTTCTCTTTTTGCCTTGGTGAGACTCGGGCTAGGATCTGTCTTTTAGTTGCATGCGTCTACAAAACTTGACAACAGTTATTGTGTAAATATTAGACAGAAGTGGTAGCAGTTTTTGGGTCAAGGTTGGCACTTTGAGTGTCTCCATGGTTACTAACCTCCTCTTTATCCTCAACCTAAATAAATGTGGAGTAGCAAAGTTAAAGAAGCATATGCCTTATTCATTTCAGTTTTAGCCTCAACAACTTAATAACTCTGAAGCACATGTCATTGTAATTTAATACCTCAGGCTAATTCAGTGATGAAATGACTTACCATTTTAAGATTGTTCATTTTGGATTGACTTGCTTTATACGCTCTCCAGTTTTCAGCAATAATCAAACCAACATATATTTTCCCAACTGTCATATGATTATCGTTCAACTCTGTTAAAAAAAATGAACTTAATTATTACACAACTCATACTGGCATAAACAAATTTTTTCTTTAGAACATGACAAACATTTAGAAGAATAGGATCATCTAGCACATGCTTAAATTTCTACTTTTATTTTCTCCCTCTCTATTGTATGTGGTGAGTTCATCTGAAGACATTCTATCTCATCAGACATGTTACCTGAATTAGGTGGCACCAGGAGATTAAGGAGTTTCTTTTTGCGAGCCTGCACTGGCCACATTTTGCGAATTAGTTCTCTAAGTTCATCATCCAGCTTGTCCATTTCTTCCACTAAAATCAATTGCCACATAATAAGTGATAAAATTAGTACTGGACTGCATATTTTCATCTCATGTTAATTCAATCAAGCAAGTATCACTTGAATAAATTTTACCCAATTTTAATAAATAAATTTGAACAATGTTTCATATAATTACTTTAAGTCATATTCTTTAATAAATCAAATCTAACCTGGACCCATTTTGATAGAAAGAGATTCTCTAATCAAAGCAAACAAAGTGGTGGTGAAATGAACAGTGTTGTCATTAGCAACAGGCATATTCATCCTGATCAACTTCCGGTACGCAAATTTGGTCGGACAGTTTTTGCCGAAACCCACTGGTGGCTCCATGTTCTTTAACATCTCGTACATGTCTTGGTAATTGATTCTTCCTCTGAAGAGTAAAACAAAACATTGTTTATGGAGCTTTTTGGTCAGTACCATGTATCAAGTAAAACCTGCAAATATTTCTGACAAAGGTCCTTTCCTACATATTCAGGATGTAAGATTTGTTTTTGAACATGACTTGTGTATAAACACTATGTTTTTTAGGACTGATAATGATGTTTTCATAATTACAAATACATATTCATGAACACTATGCCCAAAGGTGTAGCAAATGCCTATCCGATCTTTCTACATCTCAATATGATCTAACAAGAGGCCCATGGGCCACATCGCTCACCTGAGTAACTTTAGTCATGCTGTTCTTTACCAGATTCCCCCCCCCCCTTGTAATACCTATTGTGGCCCCGCCCTACCCCGGGGGGTCCTGTTTGAACAATTTAGAATCTACACTACCCAAGGATGCTTCCACATAAGTTTCAGCTTTTCTGGCCAAGTGGTTCTTGAGAAGAAGATTTTTAAAGATTTTTCCTATATATTTCAATGTAAAACTTGGATTCCCTATTGTGGCCCCGCCCTACCCCCGGGGGTAATGATTTTAATAATTTAGAATCTACACTACCCAAGGATGCTTCCACATAAGTTTCAGCTTTTCTGGCCAAGTGGTTCTTGAGAAGAAGATTTGTAAAGATTTTTCCTATATATTTCAATGTAAAACTTGGATTCCCTATTGTGGCCCCGCCCTACCCCAGGGGTCATGATTTTAACAATTTAGAATCTACACTACCCAAGGATGCTTCCACATAAGTTTCAGCTTTTCTGGCCCAGTGGTTCTTGAGAAGAAGATTTGTAAAGATTTTTCCTATATATTTCAATGTAAAACTTGGATTCCCTATTGTGGCCCCGCCCTACCCCAGGGGTCATGATTTTAACAATTTAGAATCTACACTACCCAAGGATGCTTCCACATAAGTTTCAGCTTTTCTGGCCCAGTGGTTCTTGAGAAGAAGATTTTTAAAGATTTTTCCTATATATTTCAATGTAAAACTTGGATTCCCTATTGTGGCCCCGCCCTACCCCCGGGGGTCATGATTTTAACAACTTAGAATCTACACTACCCAAGGATGCTTCCACATAAGTTTCAGCTTTTCTGGCCCAGTGGTTCTTGAGAAGAAGATTTTTTAATGACCCCACCCTATTTTTGTCTTTTCTTGATTATCTCCCCTTGTAAGGGGACTTGGCCCTTTATTTTAACAATTTAAACTCCCCTTCACCCAAGGATACTTTGTACCAAGTTTGGTTAAAATTGGCCCAGTGGTTCTTGAGAAGAAGTTGAAAATGTGAAAAGTTTACAGACGGACGGACGGACAGACGGACGGACGGACGACGGACAACGGGTGATCAGAAAAGCTCACTTGAGCTTTCAGCTCAGGTGAGCTAAAAATTATACGAAGTATGACCTTCATGAAGACCGAATATGAAGTCTCAGTACACTATAATTTTAAGTTATGGCTAAGTTCAATTTTTCTATTAGCAAACAAACAATTCAACCAAAACAATAGGTTCTTCCTTCTTTCATGTCACAACAATTACCATGTGAAAAAAATGTGACCTATACATACGTGGCTCCTGGGTCAATTTCAGCCCACTCTCTGACATACTCGTCCAAATGATGCGGGCCGAGGATAGAACTGTCCCGGGTCAGGTAGTCAAAGTTATCCATAATGACAGCCACAAATAAATTCAACATCTACAGGACAAAAAATATCAATATTAATGTGAGTTGACAAAGATAAGAGTAGGATGGTTATGATTAAGAAATTTTTTTTTATAACTACACTGTATGAACTTCTTTCTGGAAAAATACAAACTCCTGAGTTCTGAATGACATGATAACACAGGACAAAGTTATAACTTCAAAACTACCAGTATTCTTCTTTCATACCTTAATGTATTTTAGAACTAAACTTTACAATCAACATATGTAAAATATCTTACGAGAAATGAACTGAGAAACATAAAGGACACGAAGTAGACATAGGCAATGGCTGAACTTCCGCATGTTTTGGGCGGGTTAAGGCCAGACTCTGGGTCACAAGGTTTCCCTGACAGACAGGCCATCATTATTGCCTGCCAATTCTCACCAGTAGCACATCTAGAACAAAAGAATTGAAATGAAAATAATTGATGACATTTTAAAATAAGCACTTCAGTACTTCTATCATCATTACAGGTGAAAGGCACATAAATGGAATGATCATGGAATAATACTTCCTCAGTAAAAATGTGGTATCAATGGTATTAAATCTGTGGAAAATTCTTGTTTTAAATCACTGGTTCTCAATATTATCTGGTATAAAATATTTAAGGCTAAAATGGGTTAATTTTTAATATCCTATTAATATGAAATGCTATATTTTCCCCATGACATGCAAATACAAATGAACGCTCACCTAAACAGAAGCATCAGTGCATATAAGAAGTTTCTAAAATTATTGTGTCTGTTGATGTCTGTTTGAGAGTCAAGTTTGATATTTCCAAACACCTGAAAAAACAGAAAATGTATTTAATATACAAACCAAGGCAGTGGTTTTCAGTAAAATTCATCTTGGTGTTTATCAGTGTTAAAAACTTTGCGATGTTCCTGGTGGCTGGCATAATTCTTCTATAATGAATGCCTTGTATTTAACATAAATTTTGGTGGTTACCAGTAATATAAATTAAGAAAATTTACCTGCATTCCTATGATGGCAAATATGAAGAACAGCATGAGAATCAGTAAGCACACATAAGGCAGTGCCTGGAGGAAAAAAAAAACCATATCAATAATTCTAAATGGTATCTTTACATTGTATGTGACTAATCCTTGTCATTATTTTCTGTTGTTAATTATACAAGTAATATACATTTACAAAATTATTAGTGACTAAAGTTGAACTTTGGTACCTCAAACACTGATATTTCGAAAACCATGGATATGTTGAAGTGATTTGGAAGTCCCAACCACTTATTCTTCAAGTATTTTACCCTTGATATCTTGTATCCTCAGATATTTTTCTCAGTCTCATGGAGTTACCAGATAATGAGATTTGAATGTATTTGTAAATAACTGCTGAAAATAACTAACAAGTTGTTCTATAGCTTGTAATATAGACCGAGTTTTAGTAACTGCTATTTTTCATGATCACCATCTGTTTTAGAGAGAGAGAGGGGAGGGGGGAGGGGGGAACAGAGATTATTACCTTGAAAGACTGTAGAAATGTCCAGAGTAACAGACGTATAGTGTATCCCTGTCTGAGGAGTTTTATCAGCCTGGCAGCCCTGAACAGTCGGAACACACCAACATTGAACATCGAGTTATATGACTGGAAAAAATGGGTTGGAAACAGTATCAAATACACATGTTCTAAGTATTGTTTTAATCATGAAGACATGTAATAGACCTTTTTGATTCACTTTGCGAGAAAAAAAAGTTTTTTGTTCAAAAATAGGCATTGACAGATATCAGGGATGTATCCTCTTTTATTTACATTGCATGACTTCTATTTACACTGTGTTAATATGTAAGGCTAATGGTGAGCCAATGGTACTTAGTTTACATGATGTCACAAACTTTTGAAAGTTTTTATACATGTGCATTCAATGAATATTTACTAAATCTGACCAATATTAACTCAAAATTTCACACTCCTAAAGTCAGGAGGGTGGGACAATTTATTTTTGTTAAAAAGATGTAAACAATTTTTAATTTTCTTATTCAAGGGAGGAATTAATTTTTTTTAATGTTATACAAACACAGTTTTTGTTTGATTGTGATCACTACATGAACTTGTGATTTTATGATATATTTTTTTATGATACAGAGATAGAAACTTAAAAAAAAAAATTTGAATGAGAAAAGACTAAATACATAATGTAGAGAAGAGCTATCCATGCAGTGATTTCACCTTTAACATGCCTATATTGTAAACAGACATAGAGTAATCTATATATTTTTGTACAATTTGAGGCATTGGGTTCCATATCGTAGGCAATATCATGCATCTGTTGTCAAGAATAGCACATCAAGTACCTGCAATCAATTCATTCCTATATTTATGCAATGGTTTGAAGATGATGCACTTTTGCCACATCACAAATACACCAAGGTAGTGTGAAACATGTATCAACAATTAACTCTTTCCCCCTCACAAGCCCCTCTCGACGCCTATCCAGGATTTCCACACAAGCGTCTCTCGACGTTAAACTATCTATTCAGGCATTTCACATCAAATTTTCATTTTTTGTCATAAAAGCAAAATGAGCAAGAAATGCATTCAATACATGTCCTTAAACTGATCATTTTTGTACCCATTTTTATTTCACTCCCCTATGCCTAACAAAATTGAAAACTATTTAATAGCAATTTTAAGAATAATCAAGAGACCCCCTTCCCGAAATAATAATCTAACAATTTGGACAAATGCCAAAGTTTCTTATTCTCCGAGTGGCAAACAACTCTGATTTAACAGCAATAGTACATGTATTTATATATCAGATTACCTGCAGATGCATTTTTGTACTTTATATTCATGAAAATCAAATTTGCTGGAAATCTGTCGCATCATGAATCCCCCCCCCCCTCCCCCCCCCCCCCCCCAAAAAAAAAAACTAACTAAAAACACACACACACTATCATACTTCACACACACACAAATTTTCCACAATTATATATGTATAAGGGCTGTTCAGAAATGACTGAGATATTGTGTTTGTTCACCTTTTTGTGAACACTAAATGAAAGAAATATTTGAGAAATATTATTTTTTTTAATGGTACATGTATATTAGTGTTTTGATGGAAGGGGTACTTGGAGTGGTCACCAAATCAGATCATGAAAGTGACAGTACTTGCTATGTACCAAGTTCTGGTCGACCCATAGTAAGTGGGAAAATTATTTAAATAACAATTTTTCAATTCTATTTTGACTTCATTTTGTTCAAGTTTGATAGAATTTATCAGAAATATAGAGATCATCACAGTAAAAAAAAATCAGAATTTTGATGTCAAGGTGGAGCAGCAGGCATACATAAAATTTTGTGTAGCACTGAGGAGAACTCCTGTTCAGACCAAGGACCTGCTTAAACATAAACAATGCAAAGGAAACTGACTAAGGCTTTAGTTTAGCATTGGCATATACATTATTCTGACAAATTGTTCAACAAGAATGAGAGCAGAGGAGCTGGACGACCCTCAGTTATTGTGGACCAAATAACTTAAATTCAGCTGTACTATACTCAGTGCAGCACATGATGCTTATAGAGTCAAACACTAAATGACATTTCATGACAATTTGACACTGGGCTAGCAACAACATACAACGTATAATTTTTTAAAAAAAAAAGGGTTTAAGTGAAGAGAGAGTATGATTTTTAGAATATTTTAAAGTGATATGACAAAAAAGTAAGAGTTATCGCTTCCTGATCGTTTTAATCAGAGAATACGACTCAAGTGACGTTAAACTGCTGTAATGATAATTTCTGCGGACTGCTTCCTGTCAATGGACATGTGTAACTGTATGATATCACTGGAACTTTTGTGATGCAATTAACTAGAAATACATGTATTGTAGTTTTGTTTTACTTGTTCTTGATAAAATGGTGGTGAATTGATCCCTTTCTTTTCATGGAGTTAAAGTAAATCATGTCTGGATAATTTCCAAACAGCCTACGTATATTTAAAGACTGTTCTGTGATAAGAAAATAGAAATTAATTTTTCAACAAAATATCATAATGAGAATAATAATGGTTACTTTGTAAATTGTACAAATACTGACACTCATATAATAATGAACAGTGCATTAAGTGCAACCACATGATGAGCCCTCAACATGTACATTGTGTCAGTGCATCTAATAAATGTTTACAGTAGATCATCAATATACTAATCCATACATCTACATCAAAATATTCCCTCCGACAGAGAATTTGTTTGCAAGTTGGAGTTTTGAAGTATGGCAGACAACAAACATGAAGGTCACATATATGTTTCCTTAAAAAAATAAATAAACAAGATCCAGGGTGTATACTATGTAGTGTAGTTACAATGTATTTCTTCTATCAAGAGATCCAAGGGAAAAAAATCATTATACAAGCATAAAACATCTTCCACTGACATTAAACGTGCTGTGCTCAGATGAGCTACGCTAGGGTAGTGTAATGCACTATAAACCATTACTAAAAGGGCCTTAATTTTTAACATACATTGTCTAAAAATGTGAAAAGTTCTTCAACATGCAAATCTGATAGAAATGTCCATACAGTTTTTCACTATTTATAGTATTTAGGTGATTTAAGTCATATATATTAGAGTGTTGAATTTGCAGTTTTTCTTTCTTCATGAAATGAATGTATACACATTGTGTGAGGGCATGCTGTATTTCAATCAGATTTGAATATAAATCTATGGTGCAAAAATGTAAATTGCATTTTCCTTCATTATATAAACTATCAAATTATTAAGTAAACAAACCTCTCCGTTATCGTCTTTTGAAGACAATAATTCCTAAAACGGTCAAGCAGACAAAATTCAAGTTTATAGTATTTCACATGGCCCAAAGGCCGCAATTTTCTCCAGGGAAAATTGAATCTAGCAATGCTAGGTGATATGTGTAAGTTAAAGCATTCATTTAAATACAGAGTTGACTTTAATTCAGACAAAATTACTCTGCAATGTTGTTTTTTTCCCCTACAAGCATTTAAAGTACATTATTTCTTATATTTCTTGCCAAAACAAACATTTTCAGTGGTGCAACAGTGATGTTGTAGCTGGAACAATCACATTTATTTAAAAAAAAAAAAAACAACAAAACAATTATTGGCATAAAGCAAGGAGGTCCACTTACCCCAAACTCATTGACTAAAACATCAATGATACTGCCTACTACTGTTATGAAGTCAAAGACATTCCAAGGGTCATGGAAATAATTCTGTGGAAAAAACAATAAAAACATCAGGTTTTCTGTATGAGCAAATAAAAAAAAAAAAAAAAAAATTTACCAAATCTTATTAAGATGTAAGTTCAACGAATTCTTTTCCATTAAAAATACACTGTACTTGAAATGTAATTGAGATTGAAGATTTTAAGTTTCATTTAACTTTCGAAAATTAAAAAAAACATATTTACTTGTGTCTTTGATAAATGTTACATCATTAATATTATTATTTTTTGTTAAATAATTTTAATGACAATTTTGAATAATAAAACTTGAATTATGAGGATGAAATAATAAGAAAAGCTGGTAAAGAAAAATCAAGCATACACAGGATGTGAACAGAAAATTTGCATGTTCCTTCAAACTATTAAGGGATGCAAATTGAAAAAAAAAAAGAATAAATTTCAATTCAGCAATTAAATAAACAAGATTTGACTTACGTGGCCAAACATTGCTATTTATTATTATTTTTTTTTCTCCAATGGAACCTGATACTTACAGATTCTGTACAAGGGCTCTTTAATAAACTTTGCCAACAAACTATTGAAATATAAATCAACAACAGAAAATATAGGTGACTTAGAAATATTTATATATGTATAAATATAGACACAAGGGGAAGCCAACAACGGTTCACAATTTAGACTACACGTAAGCAAATAAAGGGGGATTACTCTGGATATGCCTTCTTCTATTTCCTAAATAAGTGGTGCATGTGCTTGTGTTTTATTTTTTCCACTTTGAAAACAGAAAAAGTACCTTTTTTTTTTTTTTAGAACAGAATCATCTCTTCTGGGAGCAACATTAGTGTTCTAATATTGAAAAGTAGGAGTATATGTTCATATTCTCCCAGAGATTTAACAAGCAGGATGAAGCTTGACATTGTGTGCTATCAAGAGCTAGCTATAAAACAAATTCTCTGTAAGTTCTCACAGAAACTAACATATCCAAAGTGACTATAGATAGATTAATTTTCTATCCTTATAATACTGTTGTATACTGTGTATCACTGAGGTGCAAAAATACAGATGATACATTTTCTCAGTTCATATACTTAGAAATTTCTATCCTGTGCAATAATATCCATTTTTTTTTCTGTTTACATCCGAGTTAATTCTTAGTGCTGATGATAAAATATATTTGAATTACTCCATCAACGATTAGGGTGAATTAGTAAAAATAAAAGTATTTTGTTTTGTTTGTTAAATCAGGCAATTAACAGTTCGAATGCCTAGTATATATAATAATGTAAAAGATCTTTGAATGTGCCAGCATTTTACGCCCTTAACATTAATCACTGACTGATACTTTATCATTGACTAGAGACTTAAACACAAAGAAGGCAAATCCTGAGTCTGCGATGTTTTCACAATGACAACACCCAATCAGGAGGTCCTGTCAACACATTTCTTTTCAAAGAAAAGATCCTTGAATATCTCTTAAAAATCTCTTGAAATTTGTTACTTGTTTATCCAATGAATTATTTGAGAAAGTGATAAAGCAAAAGCATTTCTGCTCATAATTTCGAAAAATGTGTTGCACTGCTAATATGCTGAAACATGGTTTGTATGCCCATGTGAAGATAGGGAAAAATATGACAACTTCTGAAATCAAAATGTAACAACGTATGAGACGGAATATTGTGTACAAATTGACATTTCAAACCTTGATTCCGAACGCGAGTAGCTTCAATACACACTCAATAGTGAAGAGGATGGTGAATATTATATTTATCGAAATCAAAACTCGTTCGTATTTATGCTGTTCTTGATTATTTTGGAATTCTTGGCCTTGGCCCTGGCCCGTATCACCACTAGTTTTGTTGCTGAACTGAAATCAAGGCAGTTAAAAATGTTTGGTTTAAAGAGGTAGCAAAGAGATTCTAAATAAATAATGTGATGGTTAGCAAATTCTGCTACAACACTCATCAAAATGCACCTACAATCCGAGACATACCACACAAAGGACAAAAGTTCTCATTACAGATTCAAGTTCAATTTAAAATAAAATTCCAATCACTAGAAAATCATGTTTTTTTAATCAATGATTTTTATCAATTGAAAATGTTTATGTAGAAATTTGAAAGAATTTCAAAGAAGCTTTTCCAGCTGCCAACTGTATGAACTTTTGTCTAGTGTTTTAAAACAACCATACTGATTTCATGAAAAAGAGAAATAAGGAAAAAAGAACAGCTGAGCATAAAGAATAGAGCAAAATGAACTGTTGAAATCAGACAGGCCTGCTCCCATAAGCTTCATACAATGAGCCTGTCACCAAGTGCATCCAGTGATTGATGATTCGAGCCAAAGATTTCAAAATTGCCATGTGAAGGTAAACCACATCACATTTATTACAGCTAGTGCAAGTAAATTTTTTTTTTACTACAAAATGTCATTTCACTTTTGTTTTTTTAAAATATCTTCTCAATTAATTCTTTTATATTTACAGTTGCTTGAAATATTAACCTTGGTTTTTCACTTGAACTTGAATACATGCTTAAATCAATGAACTTGAAATTGACTTGAACATGAATACGTGCTTAAATCATTGATATATAATAAGTGTGAATAGTGGTTTACATTATATGAATGTGCAAAATGAACTAAAATTTGTAATGTAAAAGTATTAGAAAGATACAAGAATATGGTGACAATCATTTACAACTGATATAGAACAGGTACACACAGTTGCTAAATGTGCCTCCGTAATCGTGAACCATTCCCATCAAATATTCTATAATCTAGAAATTTTCTGCACAATATTTTGATCTCTGTTTTAACTTTCAATAATAAACTCTAGATTATAAAATACTTTGTAAAAGTGATATATTAATTCATATCCTATTAAATATGAATGCAAAATAGTCATACATTTTATCAGTAAAGTTTGAGCACACAATATGCACATGAAATACTAGAGATCAAATTTCTCCAAACACCATTTTCCAATCATTCGTTTATTTCTGCATAAAATTCATAACAATTAAAATTGCAACATCCAGAAAAATATTACTTATCAAATAAATCTAATTAAATAGATTTTTAAAATTATCAGTGACTGATAAGATGTATGACTGTTCAAGTAGTTACTGAAGACTTGTGAGAAATGAGAAAAAAAGGTGTTGCCCCAGACCACTGGTTACCTTTCCGAACCCTATCAACTTTAGGGTACATTCTACTGAGAACATGATCGTAAATCCCATATTTAGATATTTAAGGATCGTCTTGTATTCGTTGCTCATTCCCTCATACTGTCAACGAACAACATATGACATTTTATCATTGAATTTTTTCCAGAAATTTTTTTTTTTCAAATTTACCCAGTATATGTAATTCCTAAAAAGTTTTTTTTTAAAGTATCATTTTAACAGTGAAAAGAATTATAGAATTAATATCATATAAGAATAGCTTTCAGCTGTTGCATAGAAATATTAAATTATATCTCACAACCAGGGCAACTCAACAAAAGCATCATTTATGAATTAACCATTGACAAAATTATTTTTTTTTTTTAATTTTTGTTTAAGTTTCACAAACAATATTAGTTTAAAAAAAAAAACAATCCATTAGTTAAATGTTAATCAAATTTTGGACAATGTGTATTTATTTCTTAACACAATCATTTTGTCTTTTTGTTTTACCTTCAAAGCTGTGAAAGGAAATTGTCAGTAAAACTTCAGAAAAAGACACCAAATGAATGAATAATTCAACTACTATCACAAAGAAGCAATTAAATTTTAATAATTCATAGATACAAACTTATAATACATGTAATAAAAATATATCATTATGTATTCTCAGGCTTCATGGAAAAGGCTCGAGCTCTCCCAACAGTGAATTTGTTATCAACTTCGTTTTCCAAACAGAATGACCATCCAACTAACTTAAACAAATTATGATATTCAAATATGGTCTTGTTTTCATTATGACACATCCCAAGGAAAAAAAATAGGAAAATTTTTTTGCATTTAGTGAAAATTTCCCCTGAAGCACTTGAAAATAAATAACTCTGGCTAAGAATTTAATATTTAAGTTCATATAGTTTTAAGTATAAATTCTCACAGAGGATTTAATATCTTTGAGATAAATGATATTTTTCTTTTCTAGCTGATATAGTAAATCAATCTGACATTAACAAATAGACCTACCTTCATCATAAGTACAATTGTGTTCAAGGCAATCAGCGTCATCACAAAATACTCAAATTTAGTCGACACAACCAGCTTCCAGATTTTGTACTTGATCGTTTTCTTGTTCTTCGGCATGTATCGGCTGGTGGGACGAGCATTAATTGCGAAGTCTATACATTGTTTCTGTGGAGTAAAAACAAAATATGCAGTTAGTTTTTAACATGGTATTTTCTAAGGATATTTTACAAACCAAAATCCATTCAAATTGAATGCAGAATTTTTACATCAGGTGTTACAACCTGCATGAGTACTGCTTAATCACACACAAGAGTTATATTTCCATGCTGTTAACAATTTTTTCTAGTTAAAAATATAATCTATACATTAATTACTGTAACACGGCATATTAATTATCCAACATTAATTATTAGCATACACCATCACACAAAATACAGGTAGCTATAATTTTCATTAATATCAAATGATTTTCATTTACTAGTACCTCAGTGCATTTTATAGTACACAACAAATATCCCTTCCTGTGAATGCTTGCTCATTTTCCTTTTTTTTTTTCATTATTATTATGGTTTCATAAATACATCTCTTATAGTCAATTGTATCTTCAGAAACAAAGATTGTGTTTGGATTGTTCTGAACATGTAGGTGACATGTATCACATGTGCTGTTAATTGCTCCTCTGTGTTAGTCTTTGATGCAGTTTTGTCACATAAGACTGTGATATCACATTTGTATTTGAAGTGTGAATTAATTATCATAAACACATATTCACCTTGTATTACTTACGTCTATAGCTGATAACTAAAAATGTATCACTTTATGTAACAACTTCAAGAATTTCAAACAAACAGACAAACAGATAACTTCAGGTATTTAAGCAGTGCATACATGGCATTTTGTAGTTTTTAAGCAGAAGCAAAGAAAAAATAATAAAGAAAAAAATTTGTGCTTATGAAACATAACCAAGAATTCTATAATTTCAACTTTCGAAAAAAAAAAAAAAAAATTAAAGCACAACTAACGGTATGAAAATAAAACATTTACATTTTTCTACTCTGCAAAAAAAGGGGAGGAGTGTAGTACACTGGACTCACTTGATTTTTATCTAGCTGTGCATCCTCAAGCTCAGCTTCTCCTTGGTCTTGGAAAGTGATGATAATTAAGGCAACAAAGATGTTCACAAAGAAGAAAGGGAAAACAATAAAGAAGACAACGTAGAATATTGCCATCTCCATTCGGTTTCCAGGCTTAGGGCCCTGGTCCTCGTACGTAGAATCCATGGAATGATGAAGGATGCTGTGGGGAGAGGCACAGAATTAATCAGGAAGTTAATAATGATGAACTTGGATCTCTAAATTTCATAATGAGAGTGATTATATTTCTCTGCTCAGTTTATTTTATATCATTATCAAGAAGGTCATTGAAAGTTTCAAATCAGTATACAATTTAGTGAGTACTGAAATTTTTGATGTGAAGAAAAATTAAATCTTCTAACACTCTGTGGAGACCTCTCTAAATATGATATACTGTAATTCAAATACTGCATACAGACCAAACTATACCTGATATAAGTAAGGATTGAACTGAGCGTAACCTAAATGTGGTGTTCTCCTGTTTAACTGATCAAAAAATGAGAAATCATTATCCTTAACCAGTCACTCTTTAACAACTGCAGGTCAAATTCAGCATCATTTATGCATGTACCTTACAAAGCATACATAAAAGCATGATATGTAAGCTTAGTCTGAACACTGTGTGTAGTAACTACCTATAAAGGTTGTTCTAACATGTAACAAACAACCCATAAAATGTTGATCAGAGGCAGATTTTGAAGTATGCATTATACTAAGTAGCCATACATATAGACACCAAGCAAGCTTGGTTTGAACAACTTTGGTACAAGATGTACATGAGGCATCCAGTGTAACCCCCCTCCCCCAAATAACACATGATTACTTGCACAACTTCCATTGTGCATGCATGCACTCACTCTTCCACACATGCACGTTAATATTCCCTTAAACTTTGTTGTGAGGGGATTAAAAAAAAAATAAATTCAATGCAAGGGTATGAAAATTCTTGTTAAACTTTTTGTTTTCTTGAGAATTTTCTTTGAAATGCATTCTTTCAATATTTGAAAATGGTAGGGAATGAGGGTATAGAGAATGATGAGAAATCTTACTTGGGCCACCCTTCACCAGTAGTGACAGTGAACAAAGTAAGCATGGCTTCAAACAGGTTATCATAGTGAAAATCATGTCGCAGCCATTCTCGATTTTTGACGGTGGGTGTGTCTTCAAACTCTTCATAGTAAAAGAACTGGCCCCTGTTGAAAGTCAAAAAATTATTTTATAACTTTTTTTTCCCCAAATTTAAGAGCCAAATTTTATAATACCATAAATAAAATACATATAACACAGTTAAATTGTGACTAATGTTGCAATATTTTAATTCAAAATGAGGCAAATGCTATACATATAAAACTGGAAATCTTTATATAGGCATTTTCTCCTATTATAATTATTATTATTATACAATATTATTTTTACTCTACATTTGGTGTGTTTCTTCACTAACCTACACTCCTCCTCTGTACTTTTAGACTCATCTGTGCAGAAGAAAAACTTCCCTTTGAACAGTTGAACAGCTATGACAGCAAAGATCAGTTGGAATAACATATATACAATCAGGATGTTGGCTACATTTTTTAGAGAGTTCACAACGCAGTCAAAAACAGCCTAAAAAAAAAACATTAAAAAAGAATGCATAATCCTAATATATAATGTATAATGGATCACAAATTAAGGAAACTGTAACGCCTTATATTTTTTCAGTAAAGAAAATAGTGATTTTTTTTTTTCAGTTATGCATGTTTTATGAATTGTCCATTTCATAAAACATGCATAGCTGAAAAAAATGCACTCTTTTCTTTCATTAAAATAAGTTGTTACAGTTTCTGAGCATACTGAATTTGCCAGGGTTTTCTGTCACAAAACTGTCTAGGACTTATATCTTTAGAACCATTTACTGGAGTGAATTTCAACTTAGGTATCTTTTTGGCCATGATTGAGTGACAGATCATCATCTCTACTCAAGGTCATTTCTCAGAGGTCAAGGTCACCATGCAAAGGTTATTATACAATATTTACAAATCTTGAAAAGGTTATAAATCTGTACTATTCCATCACAGTCATTTCTGTACAAGGAAGGGTATATTTGGGGACTGGGGGAGACATCCATTTTTGTACAGAAACAACTTGAAATTTACAAATACATCATGGCAATTTTCTGTAAGTGACAACCTACTGAAAAATGTTGCTATTCCTTTTTGTTCATTTCTTATTTGAAGACATGAGTTTAGTTAACACTGATTCAGAATACAATATACACAAATTATACAATTTATTATGCCTTTGATTGGCTTAAAAACAGATAATAACCATTTAACTTTATTCCCAAATATGGTACATGTAATTCACATCCTTACTAGCAAATCATTGGAGTGAAACCCATTTACAGGTAGACATATATCTATGACTAAGTGAACATTTTAGTTAAAAGCTTAAACACAGACTTGCTTTGTATTATGACAGGCTACTTTGAAGTACAGACCTTTAGTTTGGGTACTCGGTTGATTGTTTTCAGTGGACGTAACACTCTAAGGACCCTCATAGATTTGATTGTGTTCAGGTTCTTGCTGGCAGTATCTCTACAAAGTACACAAATTATACAAAGTTAATTACGCATTTCCTAGCAGTTAAACGTGGGCTACAGCTAGCGCTGTATAACACAGAACAACAAAGCTGTGAACATTGAAAAGGACAGATAAACCAAAAAGATAGAGACAATTAAAGGTAGGTAACTCCTACGACAATACTCTGACAAGTCATTAAAGTTGTCTTTCTTTATACATCACTACAACACAATCTACAAACTAATTGTTTGGGGCAAAATTTCCAGTTAAATTTCATTCTGTATGAATCATGCACTTTATCATATTCTTTTAATACATTACCTTGGGTAGTGTTTAAACTTTTGTTTTCATTCATATTTAATATACACTGTAAAGCTGTTCAACAATATTCAAGGGACTGAGCAATTGTATAAGCTTCACTGGCAAGATGGATGCTGTTTTGAAAATTGTGTTAGGAATGGGATGTGTTTGGAGAAATATTCAAAAATAAAATGTTGACGTAAATTCTTCAAGCTGTGTAATACTATTCCATTCAGCATAACATAATTGGTCAATCTTTCCACATAATACACATTGTTAGCCTTGCTTTGGGGTTTGCAGTGCAGGTTCACCAAAAAATTGCATTTATGTATAACGTACTTTCCAAAAATCAAATTGTATATATGTACACAATATGGACACAATATAGAACTGTCCACTGTTGTCGATTATACATGCATGGTTACCATGGTAACAACATGTGGATATAGACGTCACCACACGGACATCAATTGTGTTGGTAACAAAAATGTTGAATTCAAAATGATTGTGCATTGTTAGCAGTACACTGTATATATACAAGTCAAGTTTGCTATTTCTTACACTGCCTCCTTAATGCTGAAAAAAGTATAGGCATTTTTTTCCTGAAAACTTTGCAGTAATCTTTAGGTAAAATTATAAATCATGTCTCATGTTGATGCCATCAAAATGCCTTATATATTTCAACTTCAAAATCAAACAATTTAAACTAACAAATTGTGATAAATCTCTTTCTTAATCTTTACATCTTTCATACCATCAATTGTGATCACAATGTCAGTATGAGAATTGAGATGAGTTATCTTTAGACCAACAGTAATAAATTTTGTCTGGTCAAACAGTTACATCAAGATAAGATTTGGAAATTTACATACAAAAGTCACCACATTGTCGCAAACCACGGCCAAAAAGTATGATCCTCTCCCATTCTGGACATGGTTGAATGAGAAGAGAATATGTCATAGCTCATTAAAATATTGACCAATGTGAGTAAAGTATAGTCAGATAATGAACTGTGACATGACCTTTCAATACATAATCACAGTATATAAAAGATTTCTTGTATACTGTTGATGTCAATTGTTGATTTCAATTAATTGTGATGGAAACAAACATTGTCACTGGCTGAACATGACATCACAATATAGAGGCATAAATATTCAAGATTACGACATTTTTGTGATCAAGCAGCCACGGGTAGGAGAAAGCTATATGCGGACTCCGGACCGTGGCTTGAGACAATGCAGTCACCATGATCCAATAATACATATCCATCAAATATTTATTAAATAAAGCAGGCATGAAAGAGAAATAGGTTTTAGTTTTATTAATCTCACACATGAATATGACTGGCTAATTTAAATTCAATTTCCTGATTTATTTTTTTACTGATATTAAAACTTGGTTTTTTATTATTTTCTTCCACATGTAGCAGTATACCAATTGATACAAAAAAGTGTATCCCCAAAAAGTTTAACTTATTTCTTCAAACAAAAAATATGGGGATTAATTACTATAAAGTTTAAAATGATTACAAAATTTTTTGACACACACTAAAACAGAAATTTTAGCATCCAAGATTTATTGTTTTTAAGCTTGACTTGTTTTCCCTTCTAAATGCACTTACTTTATTTCATATAATTTTTTCTCATGCTGAAAGTGGACACCTCTTGTGTCACTAAGCAATCTCTAATCTCTATGTTCTCTTATACTAGTTCTTTCATTTCTAAAACATGGTTTTGAAAATAATTCTGATGGATGTGGCTACATTTGTTCATTTTTCTCTCAAAAAAAAATTCTAAAAGATGTAAATCTGCCAATTTTGATAAAAGATTTTTTTAAATTCATTTACAAAAAGCAAGATTTCTACAATTGAACTCAACATCATTTTGGTCTATTCAAAATGGATTAAATTCATCAGAACTTGCATTTGGAATTTTTGATGTGCAAATGCCTCTAATTTGTGGCTCTATATAAAGACAAGAGGTCAAAGGGCCTTAACAATCACCAGAGTTAGTACAACATATTTGTTTATTTATAATTAGCATAGCTGAATTATCAAAAGGAAAGGGTATTCCCCTCAGTAGAGTAAAAATGTTCCTATTTCTCAAATCTGATAAAAACACCCTTGCTTTTAACAACTAAGTAGTTTGTTTGCCTGCTACATGCCTAGGAGTAGGGGATATGATTTTCAAAGAATTATGGCATATTTCACTATATGATTATGTAATAGAGCACCACCATAACATTAGAACCCCTGACCCACTGGCCATGAATTTCATAATTTAAGTAGATCGAGACATGTACCCACGAGTAAAGCATTCATTTTGATGGTTTTGGCCCTATTCCTAAGGCCTCAGGGAGGCAAAGACTATGGAATTCATAATTCATGTTCTTCTTGACCCATACATGCCATGAGCCAAAAATTGGTTCGAATTAGCTAAGCCATTCTAGAGAAGAAGCTAAAAATGTTCAAATGTTAATGGATGACTGACGACACATGAAAACAGATAGCAAAGGTCATGTGAGTGACAAAGCTGAACTAAAAACCAAGTTTTAAAATCAGATCATAGTACATTGGGGTGTATATGTATCTTATAATCTTTTCATTTTTTGGCCTGTTTTGAAATAAACTGTTATTTCCCACATTGCTCCTCCCTGCCACTTTGTGTATTGAGGTGTATAGAGGTGTGTTGTTCATATTTAATATCATGGGAAAGTGCTCAGGGTGTTCATCAATTATACAGATTTTTGATGATCAATGGGTATATTTAATTATGAATTGTCCATGCATGAAACGTCTTCGATTACCATGATAATGGGACATATGACATCAACTCTACTTACCCAATTTTCCCACTGTGTGATCAGAACAGTAATTCCATTATTCATATGCTGTGTTAACACTTAAACATCCATATAACTGATCATTTCTGCCTTAATTTAGAAACTTTGCCACTTGTTCACTTAATTCACTTAACAATAATGTTAATTTCTTGAGCATTTTATATTTCTAGTTCTAGCTAATCAGTTGGTTTACATTGAAAACTTGTACATTTTGCAATTCTTTGGATTAGCAATTTTTACTGAAATTCCAAATATATCAAGATATGAGCAAAGAAGGTAAATGTCCATCACTGGCAATACACATTATGTAAGATTTATCACATTTTTTTTTCAACCTATGTGATGAAAGTGTGTTATGATAAAATCTTATCTCTTACACAATTCAGTGAAATAATTATCTTTCTGTATCATGGATTTTAACTACTATAGTTTACTATAACTCTTGCAACATCATTTTAATTCAAATAACATAGCACATTTTTTGCAACACTGTGAACATTGATACACATGTACCTGCTTAAATTTCCAGGGGTCAGTGTGACTTCTTTTTTGATAAACTGACCATAAAAAAGCATTTATGTACATTATCTCAGAGGAAAAAAGGTTGTGCCTTAAATAAAACCAGGGAAGCATTAGTTGCATGGGATTATCTTTGTTGAAAGTTAATCAGAAGAGACTTCAAGGAAAACCAGAGAACTGTGTTAATTGGCTTTTTTTTTTTTTGGTTATAAAAAATAGTCATCTCTAAGTTTCAAATACTAGCTAGGGTACCCATAATCTTACAGGACTATACATGTCAACCCAAAGCCAAAATTTTAAAACCCAATACCAATAATTAGTATGGAAAATGGTGTGTAACACTCAGATTCACAGCACACAGACAACAGCTTGTTTTATCTCAAAATTCACTAGCATCATGTAACTTCTACTCAGTGGAACTCTTATCTCTCCAATTTAAACCCCCTCCCCCCAAAAAAAGTCACCCTAAGAGATATGGCTTTCCATGTGTCAATCATTCACTCCATCTTGATTTATACCTTAAAAATGACCTGTTCAGAGAATTTTTATTATTCATAGAATATTTACCATATAATTTTACCTTGACCTTTGGACTTTAAAGTTTCTTGGGAGTAAAAATATGGGTACAACACTTTACTGATGCAACAGTATTTGCTGGTATACTTCCAAGCTTTTACAAGCAATTTTTGTCAAGTAGCAAGTACTACACATGGGGACTTTCCTGGGCCAAAATCTTTTTTCTGACATTGGAGGGACTATTTCAGACTTTACGTCATTTTTATGCCCCCGTAATTGAAGATTCAGGGGTATATAATTTTTGCCCTGTCTGTCTGTCCGCAAAACCTTTAACCTTGCCCATAACTTTTGATTGGTTGAAGCTACGGCTTTCATATTTCACATGTGATTCCTTGTGACAAGACCTTCCTTTTGGTACCAACATACCTTGACCTCTTAACCTAAACCTTGGAGTCTGACCCACTTCTGCAAAATTTTACCCAACTTTAACCTTGGCCATAACTTTTGAACAATTGGTGCTGAGGCTTTTGTATTTCACATGTGTATTCATCGTAACAAGATCTTTCCATGGGTGTAAATATTTTTGACCTTGACCTTAGAGTTTGACCCACTTTTAAAAAACTTTAATCTAGGCCATAACTTTTGAACAGTTAGTACTAGGGCTTTCAAATTTCACATGCATGTTACTTGTGACAAGACCTACCTTTGTTTATCAACAATTTTGACCTTTTGACCTTGGAGTTTGACCTACTTTTGCAAAACTTTTACCTTTGCTATAACTTTTGAATGGTTGGTGGTAGAACTTTTATATTTTGCATGTGTATTTCTTATGACACGGTCTTCCACTGCATACCATTAATTTTGATTCTTTGACCTTGACCTTTGACCCACTTTTAGAAAACATTAACCTTGACCATAACTGTTGAATGTTTGATGCTTGGGCTTTCATATTTATTAGGTATATCCACTGACACAAGTCCTTTCTTTTGGTAACAATATTTTTGATCTCTTGACCTTGACCTTGGAGTTTGACTTGCATTTGATAAACTTTAACCTTTGCCAAAAGCTGCCATACCAGAGCATCAGTGTTTCAGAAATACATCTTGTTTAAACATGCTTTCCATCTTTAAAGATTTTTTTTTTTAAATACTGGTAATAAAATTCTTTTCATGTTTTTTTTTTTTTTTAAATAGGAAAAATTATAGTGACTGCTCAAAAATCATAACAAAATGGATAATGTTAACTTAAAATCTCTGACTAGTACAACCTGATTTAAACTAAGTTCATATCACTGTGTAATGTTGGTCCAAATTAACACTTCTAAGAAAATAAAGTACATGATATATTTATGTTTAAATTAGAGTGGCTTAGATATTTAGTGACTTTAAGTTAATTAAGGGAAAAAAGTGCACTGGAACTTTTACATTGGTGAACTATAAGGAAATCTGTGGCAGTACAATTCTCTACAATATCAACGACTTACCTAACGACATTTGAATTACTATAATTAAAAATGAAGTCAAGAAAGGCATCAACAGAGTGAAAAATAAAATGAGTCAAAAGCAGAAAAGACATTATCTCCACATAATGGAGAATCCCCTCGCAACAGAGGAGTCTAGCTTACAAATACCTCGCTATCTCAAACTTGTCGGGACTTAGATTAAACTTTGATATATTCAAGGATTCAAAATAACAAGGTTAAAAAACATTAACACTCTATTGGCACTTCCATCCAATTTTGTTGCGAGGGGATTTAATGAAATTTAAAACAAAAAAAAAAAGTTTCAAAAATTCATCACACATTTATACATAAACACATAGTTAGTTTCGAAGATAAAGTTACAGAAGTGCCCACTGCAAATCACATAAAATGTATATTTCAAAGCAATCATTGTTGAATCTGATAAAATTTATATCTGCATTAAAAGTAGCATTGGTGCATAAAGTTACGCTTTTTCTATATATAGACTAAGAATACTTAAAGATGTCTAGTCTAAATACAAAACTAAATAATCTGCATGAAAAAAAATAAAAATCTGAAACCTGAAAATTGACTCAAATCCTGTAGTTTTGTTTTCTTCAGATGTCAAAAGGTTATTTTTAGATTTTTTTTCTTTCTATTTTTCTTTCATTATTTATTTATTTTTATTTGTTGTTTTTGTTCATTCATACTACAAAACTTGACTAAGATGGATTCAGGAATAGGAGCCATAAATGTCAATTCTATTGATTGAGAATATATATATATATATATATATATATATATATATATATATATATATATATATATATATATATATATATATCATTTAAGCTCCACTAAGATAAAACAATCAGACAGAATATATCAAAACTTATTGCAGTTCGTAGAAATTTGGCTCTGCATGGAGATACATGTAAATGTATAAAATTTCTAGACAGTGTTCAAAAATGGTGAGAAATAATGAATAGTTTCATAAAAGTCTCAGTAATTCAGTAGTATAAATAAATGAATTTTATGCTAATTGATTTTTTGATTAGTGTACATTGCAATTGTCATAATTGTCCTTTTTACTTTTGCAAATTATCATCCTATTCAGACCTTTTGTAAATCACTGTTAAAATCAATATTCAAAATATGTGGGCATTTTCCAAGGAATCCTTTTGTGTCCTTGACAAAATCTCAGTGGAGCTAATATGGAGCACATCATCTATTATATATTGTGCCAAACATTTGACTATTATATGACAATGATACAAATATACAAAGAATTCTGTATGTTCAACACCTTCCTATGCTGGCTACATTTCTATTTCATTGATTGACATTCAAATTCAAATTATATACTCGTAACTCTGAAAAAAATAGTTCTGTGGATAACTTTGGCATGAAGTAAATATATTACTGTTATGTATTTTCCCTAACAAATAACCCTCTGTATAATCTAAACATCCAAATTAATGACTTCACTTTGAACGATCAGAAAAGCTTATGGTGTTAATGCCCTAAGGAGAGACACAATAGCTATAGAGGGTTTGTTGGGAGATCTTGACAGAATCACTTAAAAAATTTATTACAAGGGTAATTCTCTATTGAACAAATAACTATTATTTAACAAAAAATACTTGTAAGTTTATATTTCAAAATTTCATATCTCCATCAACTTTTGTTGCTGTTTTTTTCTTCAAATAGTTAATAGTATAAGAATTAAGCTGAAAAGTACCTTAAGAGCTTAAAAATTATATTTTAAAAACAAAAAAATAAACAGTCATGATTATTTTTCACAAAATGATATTCAGTAATGAAAAAAAATTTTAAGGGTGTTGAATCATACAGATTCTACTGTACTGAGAGTATATATACTCCCTATTGTAAATACATACTGAAAGAAGAAAGCCACTAATGCACAGATGACAACGGTGGCATCCAGAATATTCCACAGATTTCTACAGTAGGACCCGGGATGAAGGAACACTCCCAGATCAATCACCTACAATACACAGGTTATAAATACTGGTACACAGCTAAAAGTATTCCACAGCTAAATGTATTCTGTTAAGGTCAAGATCTAGTAAATGACTTTAGACCGTCTTTTCGGTGCTAGATCCATTATGACGTCATAATCAATTTACACTTTCCTTTTCCCGTACTTTACAGCTCCAATAGAATTATGTAGAAAATAAAGTATTTTCATGGCATTCAATTTGAAATCATGTGAAAAGTAATCCCGATACCTATATTCAATTTTACATTATTTTAAAGAAGAGGTTAAGAACATACAAATTACCGTTTTCTGAGAGACTGTAGGCAATCTGAATACATTTCCTTCATCTGATATGGAAAAAACTCCCATATTCTTGACTGGCTTTCTTAATTTTTCATTGAAAATGACAGTTTACAAGATGGTTTTTGTCTTATTTTCTTGCAAATTAAGCCCCGATACACCTTATTTGACCGCGCTATAGTTATAAAGCATCATAAAAGGAATTTATTTCTCAAGTTTGAGAAATCTGTAGGCTCTTTTCATTTACTAGATCTTGACCTTAACATACACATTTTTGCAGTTATCATATTTTAAGGACATACGCAACATAGTTTGAACTTTATTGTCTTTCTCCCTGGAGTTGAAGAGTTCCAGTACTTAAAGGGACTGTGTGCTACATTTTAATGTCTATATATGTTGTTGTACACTTCTTCTAAAACAAGTTTGGATAAACAAAACATCTAGAATTTATGCTTAGTAATTTTTGTATATTTTTCTTTGAATTATACTAGAATTTTCATTAATAGATGTCTTTTCAAAACCCCTGGTAATGCATGCTGATTTTTTTGTCTATGAACATCTGATGGCACTATAATCTTAAATTAAGAATATCTTGAAAAATTATCAGTAGGTAAGGTACATTGCGTATGTCCTTAACACCTTTGGCACTGCTTCTTGTCCACTAATTCATGTACACACTAATATATGATTAAAGCCGATACATGTCATTGTCAAAACTCTTCTGCACTAATTCATGATTATCAGTTGAAGATGATTGTGATAAATTTTAAGTGCGCTTATTTATGTACATTCACAGTAACTGAGAGCAAAAAAAAACAGTCTCAGAGAATAATTTGCTTCTTAATTTTTCTTATTCTTCAATAATTCACTATATAAGCACATGTTTATATTAATTCTGTTTAATATTGTACAGATCACAACTGAGGTAATGGCCACTTTAATATGTAAAATCCTTAAAAAATAAAATTCTTATTAGAAGCTTACCTTCAGTATCATTTCCACAGTGAACACGATTGTGAAGACATAATCAAAGTAGTTAAGGATTTGGTTCCTAAGGGCCTTCTCGTTGACTGGTTCCTCAGTGGCTAGCGCAAAACTACTAGCACAGATAACGATCATAATGAACAGGTCAAAGTAGCGCAGATTCACAACAAAATGACAGAAACGTCGTATTCTGAAAAACAAAGTAAGATAAACTAATTTCATCTTTTTAAAATTTCTTCATTCACAATATTTAGTAACTAATTTTTAACACCAATAATTAAGATAAACTTTAAGGCTAAGATGAGAAGCCAGCTAAGCTAATATCAAATCTAACTGCCTAAATTCAAATTTCACTTTATTTGAGTTTCATTTCTTAATTATGCCTGAGACTCTAGTTCCTTTCAGACAGGCTCATCATTAAAAAAAAAAACACCTACGGATTTTTTGGTCCAAATATGAACATGGAGCTGTAGGGTAACATTGGCCTTGGGCCCCCAAATGCACTCTCCTCCTCCTCTTTTTTAGGGGGCTGAGGAGGGGGGTCCTCCTCACTGTTGTTGCTGTCTGAAAAACCAATCAACTAACAGTTATAGCCTGAATGCCCAAATAAATGATAGTTACTTGTCATAAAGCACCAATCAAATTTTATCATCTTTTGAAATGAAACTAATGGAGTGCTTTCCATAGTGCCTTGATAGTGAATGTAAAAATAATTATATCTTCAATACAAAAGAACACTATAATTCTAATTATTCATTTGATACATGCAAATCACAAGTGCATCAGTCTAACATTTGCAACTTCCTTCAAACATTTGTGAGTCTCTATACCACATTACACAGAAGTTAACAACTTCTGAATATTTAATGCTTTTGTTAATTATTATAAACCTTATTCTTTACATGGCATTCAATTCCGCAAGAAGCACTGGCTATGTGCAGATATGTTTTTCATTATCATTTGGTTAAAGGAAACTGCAGGTCTCATTTTTATTCAGAGACATTAGATAAATTTAAAATTCAGAACTTAAAAATGTAGTTTAAAGTAATTGATACTATCATTCTTTTCATAAAATTTTTAAAATTCTAACTTAGAATAATCAGTACACTTAAAATAAGAGAAAAAATATTCATAGCCGATGGTAAAATACTGTAAATTACACATAGCCAATTGTGAAATATCGGGGACTGTAAATTGCACGTCGCCGACCGTAAAATACTGTAAATCATAGTTTATTCATGAGAACTAAAATATTTACACATAATTTTATGAGATTGTATCGATGGAGAAAGAAAGCTCCCATCAATTTCAAAAAGTTTAATAATCAATGAAAAAAGATTAATAATAAACTTTTATTATTCTTTATACAGATGATTTTATAAGAGCAGTGCTATTATTTTCTCATGAATTGTAAATGATACAGTATTTTTACCTAGTGTGACTATAATATGCAAATTGATACTTGATGTGAAAATCAAGCTATTAATTAAAGCTCCTTACAAAGAAAAAAAAATCACACAAAACACAAAAACTTTTATTCAAAACCATTTAAGAAAAGAAATGGAATGAAACTTTGTGATCAATGCCCTAAAAGGTTAATCTACGAAAAAATTTAAAATACAAGTTCAAAAGCAATCCTGTGTTGATAAAATACCTGCTGGTTTGTTATTGTTTTCTGCAAATTAAAATATGCCACAATATTCAACATAAATAAGCAAATTAAGAAACAAAATTATCGAGTCTAATATGTTGTCAAAAAAATATTTCAAGTCACTTTTGTTACTGCACAAAAAAGATCCTTAGCATTGTTAAAAATATTTGCATGTATGTAACATACTCAGAGAAAAACAGGAAAAATTTTTAGCAACATGAAGAACATTTGGTTCTCATGCTTAAATCTGAGGGGTCAACTGAAACTTTCTGAGACACATGCTTTATTTTCAAAAAAGACAACACCTTGCATCTCAAAGATGAGACAATGCTGACATTTAAAGCTAGACAATAAAGAAATATGAAGAAAACAGAGCATAATTTTAAACTTGCCTGTGTCAAGGCCATCATTATCAAATTCGTTCTGTGAGATGTTGCTTTTCTTGGCCACTGCATTAGCAGTGTTTTTGTTATTTTTCAGGTCATTCTGGTGGTTACTGTCTTTGCTAAAAGAGATACTGTGAGTGAAAAATTTATCTAGCATGGTTCATAAAAGCCCCTGATGTCAAGTTATACACACAAACATTACAACATACTATAAGATATTTTATACCAGAAGATCATGCAATCTTGCTCCACCTAGGTAACTTTATTTGCAGTTCATTTATAGAGACAATAAAGTGAAAATACTTGTAATGCCATTGTACTACCCTGTTAATGATATAAATAATGTATACTTACTAATTAAAGTTGCTGACTTTGGGGTTCTCCTCATTGTTGGCCGGAGAGGGGGGACAGATATTCACTGTCACTGCCTGTGTCGCAGAACCCTCCTCCAGAACTTCTTTTTCCAGTTTATTTCTCTATAAGAACAGAAATGTAGTTGATGTATGAAAGTGAACTTTGCTTCGGGTTTGACACTAAAATTGTTTATAATTTGAACTATTCAAACATGCAAGCCTCAATATCATGAACTTTAAAAATTCTCCCTCACATGAATTTTGATCCAAAAAAAAAAAAAAAAAAAAAAAAAAGGAAAGATTGAAATCTTTTTTCTGAAAATGATCAAAATTTCCTTATTCTGACCGAGACTTGGATGTAAATCATGTTAATGTTTCTAAACATATGGATAGCCAACAACATTGATTCTACAATAGGTAAACTGACTTTTAAAGAACGATGTTATTAATCTACATACACTTTGGGGTCAATGAAAAATTTACAATGACAACACAAATTTCCAAAATCAGTGCCACTCAGCATTACATTCGACACTACTTCTCCTCAGATTCAATTCAAATTTATTTAAAACCCTCATGACACACTGCTCTGAAGATGAAAAACACATTTCCACTGCAGTTATTTTGAGCTTAGATTTATATACATTTGCAAAACAAAAAATTAATAATAATAATAAAAGTATAGAGAAAGGACAAGAGATAGAGTAATTAAATTTATATTTAATACTAATCTGAAAATATACACATTGTATATTTATTCAATTTGAAATAAATTGGTGTATATTGGAGCATATTTTAAGAAAATGTGAGAGATAGCACAGGTAGGAAACTATAAGAAGATCTAGAATACTTAATAAGGCTTGAATTCAACCTGGGAATGGTCTGTGAATTGGTTTTGGACGTCTTTTCTCACTTCTTCTAGATGCTGCCAAAGGAAAACCAACACAATGCAGTAAAGAAATATTAAGCAAAACTGCGTTCATGACCCTTGAATAAGGAATGGATTTCCATAGAAGGTAAAGGGAACATGCACAGAATAAAGCAAACAACATAATAAGCCTATTCCACAACAACTAGCTTTATTTTATGTATAATGCTTTTAAGCAGCTTATTAGTATGCTTTGAGCTATCATGCAAGCACAATGCAAACCTGGTAGTTTTATTACAATAACTAAATAGACAATATGAAATCATGGCACTTTTTTTTATTATAACAGTCAAATTTTGCAACTAAATCAATTTCTCAAAAGAAACAAAATATATCTACCGGTAGTATCAATTTATAAAATTATAAAAGAAAGATAATGGAGTCAGCTTTAACCACCCAAATTTATCCAAGGTTAAAATGTAAACTGGTATCCTGTATATAAACTGGTACCTCTTTCCGTCCCACTTCCTCTTCCTCCTCTGCAGCTGTCATTTCCTGTGCATTGGTCAAGTTGTCCACAGCAATAGCCAAGAACACATTCAGCAGTGTGTCTGTCTTGAGTTAAGAATAAATCAGAATCTACAACTATTTATGAAAACATTACTGCGTGCAAATGCTTCATTCATATCATTTTGAGTACAGTGGCGCCGCGTTTATCCGGACGCCATTTATCCGGACGCTTCACCATCCGGACGATATTTTTTGGGAACCGATTTTTTCCACGTTATTTTGTCTCATTAATCCGGAAATTCGCGTTCCGTATCCGGACGGTCAATTTCTACTACAAAACGTAATATTTCATTGTAAAATGACTCGTTTATCCGGACGGTAATATTTCAAGAAACGACTTTTTCACACTTATCTTGCATTCGTGTTAATTGTTGTAAAAACATTGGCCATGCAGTCAGTTTGAAGGCGGTTACCTGTGACCTACAAACAATAGCGTCTATAATTAGCCTGTGTTTACCCCCAATTCAATCACACGTTTATCTTTAGTATGAAGCAAAGCATTTAGCTTATACTGTGCATTAATTAAATAATAATCCGTTCAAAATCATATTGCTAACCGTATATACATCGGTAAATTCATGAGAATTTTGGAGAGTTGTAAATTAAATGAACAATAAATAACGAGCGATCTCGTAATGCTCTTTACCATGTTGATTGCGTTAGTTTAAAATACTAATCTATTTCTAATAACGTTAATGTATTTGAAACGCTTTTTTCCCACAAGACATTTTACAAAGGTACATAATTGAAGAAATATCTCTATTTAATGTAGTACCATTTACAAACGTCCATTACTTTAGAAAAGATATATAAAACTTACGTTAGGTACAGATGTTGTTTACGTTTTTCAAGGTATTTTTAATGATGGGAAGTCAAACTTAGCTTCTCTAGAAAAAATGATAATGATAATCATAAAGATGGCTTGTGTTTGCGAATGTTTTTAATACTTTGTATGAGTTAGCTTGCAGTGTTCAGTTATTTTATAGTAACCCTGTGTAATGAATATACGGGGAATATACGGCGTTAGTTTATATTTGAACATTTTCAATGATGATGCTGAACAGTTCTGTCATATCATATGAGCTTCAATAAATATAAAATATGGCGAAATAAAACAACAGTAGATCAAATTTATTCAACCCATGAAGTCACATGCCAAAGAGAAGGCGAATTAAAAAAGGAGGTCTCGGCATAAAATTGCCCATCCATTTTTTATTGCAGAAATTACATTTTAATCTATTTTTTCTTTAATCAATTACTGCTTTTAAAACAATAAACCAAAATATAATTTAAAAGTTTTTTTTTTCTTTGCTGTCACATTTTAAACAGGAATGTGCATATATACATGCTTAAAGAGTGTTTTTTGAGATGTGATTCAATTATCCGGACGATTTCGTTGGGGACAGAGACGTCCGGATAAACGAGGCGCCACTGTATACTCATACAATTGACAAATGATGGGTGTCTAATAATCAGCTGGTAAAATTGATGTGAATAGTGATAACAATGATGCCAAAGTCACTCCTTTCTATTCCCATTTCTATAATGTAGATTCCTTAATATACACCAGGAATTTCTTATTGCATAATTTTGCACAAAGCAACACTCAAATAATAAACTTACTAGCAGTTATTTTTGAATTGCTGAATACATATATTTCTTGATCAACCTGTCCACTTGCCAATTCAAATTCTTGCGATTTGATGTCTACAAATCATTTTGTGACAAAAAGTACTCGCGTAAAATAAGGAATTTACAGTATCTGTGATGTTGGGCAATGAAGGATACAGTTTCCAAACACCACAAGGATGATGAAATAGATAGAGTAAAACATCCCTGTCTTGTCCCCCTCCTCAATTCCATGAGCCCTGATCCCAGCATACATCACTTCATTCCAGTCTGCTCCCGTCAGAATCTGCCAAATACAGAGGAACAAGGAACAAATTTTAGAAAAACTGAACCAACTATTAAGTCTGAGTTCCGCATCCTTTTAACTAAGCAAAATCTCTGTATTTTTTTTTTACTAAATTACATTACTATTTTTTTTTCTCAATTTCCATTTGATATCTGGCAATCAAAATTGTGTAAAAATTACACAACCTTTTCTAAAATGATAATAATCCTGCAGTTTCTCTTACCTGGAACACAGTCAGTAGGGCTATTGGGAAGGTGTCAAAGTGTGCATCTGGTCTTCCATCATCAAAATTCATTCTGTCAAAAAATGCAGTATGCATTTTAGACTATTTTTTAAATTAATGAGTTTTGACAAAGCCCAGCTGATGAGAAAAAAAATTACATTTTGGATCACTAGTCAAAGAAGTAATTTTGCCTCATCATGACTGTGAACTGATTCGGTATATAATCTTTATAATATGTCTAATACAATTACTAAAAAATACATTAAAAACACTTCTTCATTGAATCTATTTACTCATATCAACCATACCGACAAGTATACATTGTTCAATGTACTTACTCTCCCCCAAACAGCTGCATCCCCAGCAGAGCGAAGATAAGAATGAAGAGAAAGAGCAGGAACAACAGACTGACAATTGACCTCATACTGCTAAGTAGGGAGACCACCAGGTTACGGAGCGAGGACCAGTATCTGTAACAAAAATTACATTAAAGGTTTGTTAACACAAAGACTAGCTACCTTTTTTTTTCTCTCACATTCAAGATTGTACTTTTCTCAAGATAAAAGGCCTTTCACCTTAACCATAAATAAAGTACCTTAATACATTCTGTATACTAAAAAATAGTGATACAAGTACATTCAAATAGATTTTCACCAAACATATTAGACATCAATTCATGGATTAGCTTCAAATGACTTATAAAAGGCAGTGAAAATTCTGTTTCAAACAAATCTGATTTCTGCACATCCAATTTTGCATGTCATCTGCCATGCCATCCTTAAAGTAAATACATACCTGGTGACTTTGAAGACTCTCAGTAATCGCAGTGCTCGGAGTGTACTAATGCCAAAAGAGGCTCCATCCTTGTAATACGACCATATGACCTCTATAATACTAACTATTATAACCTGTAAGAAACCATCCAGAGTCATCTTTCTTTCCATGAATATACATATTTGTTAGATATCCTACTTGAATGCCAAGAAAACATGGACAATAGATTGAAAAATTAAAATAAGTTTTAAACAGGTAAAGATTAAGTGAAATGAATATCAGCAATAAAAAATACATTTAATAAGAAAAAAAGCATACTAAACTCAACCTATCTTTCTCCCATATTTAATCAAATAAGTAATTCATACATTTAAGTTCAACCAATCCAAACCCTCATATATTTCTCCTTGAGGTTTATACGTCATTTTAATTTGAAATGCTTTGTTTCACAAGTTTACTATCAATATACTAAATTTGATTTAACTTTTTCAGGTTGTTGGAAGTTTAAATTTACACTTACCCCACAATCAAATATATTGAAAGATGACTGGAAGTATGTCCGGATCCCTAATCCATACATCTTTATTAACATTTCAAATATAAATAATCCTAGGAAAACAAATTCTGTATAATCTGAAAATCAACACAAAGAAAAATTAGTGCAAAAAATATTATTCATCAACAAGAGAGGAAAAAAAGAATTGAAATTGATTTCAATTTCTTCCTCATACACTAAAGGATAAAACAGATTTAAAACTTGAAGTGTGACAATGATACTTATTTCTTTAATAACTGATACTGTACACCAACGTTTATTCGTGTGCGAGAAATATCTGCGACTTTCGTGACCTACTTTAACTTGCGAATGTTAATTGCCGCGAACCAATTATTTTGCTTTGTATTTTTAGAGAATGTTTCCTCAGTCATGAAAAAATAATAGAAGCAGACTTACTTGAAACTGACGAATCATGAATAAAAGATGACGTGAATAATAGTTGGTTTACAGTACCTTCTCTTAAACTTTCCAGGTAAGCTTTACATATATACAGAAGTGTACCAAAATGAGACATACATAAAAACTGTTCATGCCACTCGGCTTGTCCATAATGCTCTGATGCAGTGCACACTGTATTTAAAAACACTAGAACAATGACTGTCCAATAAAATGGCTGGCTTTTCACCAAACGTCGTAAAGAATACCTGAAAAATACATCAAATATTACATATATAAGGGTGTAATTTTCTGATCATTGGTTCAGTCACTAGTGAGATCAAACATAGGTGACTTGAGTTAACTTATAAAGATGTACCTGTACAGGTATATAACGGGGTTAGACACTTGTCAATATTTGGTCTCGCCATTTGGCTTACCTTGGTACTGATTTCAAGTTGCCCGAATAAATTTCAGGTCGTCATCCGAACAATGAAGACAAGCAACAAGTATTAATAAGCAAATTTTAGAAACTTTTTTCACAATGCTACTTATATTTATTTTTAAATATGTAAGCTTTATTATAGAATATTCTCAACTCATCAGCAAGTCGTCATTTGGGCGAGCCAGACTAAAAACAAGAAGTCTGTGAGCCAATGCTCACTAATAATACCCCCGCTTTGATGTGAATATACATTCTAATGTGAATGTACACAAGTTCAGTTATGGACAGACACATGGATGAACAAGAAGTTAACATCAGATTCGTACAAAAATGAATCCCACCATATTGCAGGCCTAAACAAAGAGTGTGCTAAAATTTCAAGCATCTGCAATCAGTAGTTGCTGAGAAAACTGCGACCAAAATTTGTTATGTATGGTAGGGACAGACGCACGGATAAACAGGAAGTTGACATCGGATTCATACAAAAATGAATCCCACCATATGACATGCCTAAACAAAGAATGTGCTAAAATTTCAAGCATCTGCAATCAGTAGTTGCTGAGAAAACTGCAACCAAAATTTGTTACGTATGGTACAGACAGACGCACGGATAAACAGGAAGTCGACATCGGATTCATACAAAAATGTATCCCACCATATGACATGCCTAAACAAAGAGTGTGCTAAAATTTCAAGCATCTGCAATCAGTAGTTGCTGAGAAAACTGCGACCAAAATTTGTTAATGTAAGGTATGGACAGATGCATGGATAAACAGGAAGTTGACATCGGATTCGTACTAAAATGAATCCCACCATATGGCATGCCTAAACAAAAAATGCTTTAAAATTTCAAGCATCTGCAATCAGTAGTTGCTGAGAAAACTGTGACGAAAAATTTGTTATGGACAGACAGACACACAAGGTTAAAACAGTATACCCCCCTCTCCTTCGGGGCGGGGTATAAAAAGGTCATCCAAAATCATTCCGAGTGGAATTGAAGAGGTGACGAGTGTGAATGTCAAACCCTGATACACATGTATAATCATCTTCACAATGTCAAGGTTTTGTACTTACCGTTACATACATAAAACCTTGACAGTGTGAAGATGATATAAAATTGGTTCACTTTATATAAATTAAATCTGCAAACATTATATAGAATCATAATTAAGATTTTGGGGAAGTTAACTTTCGAGTCATTCAGTGTTTGCAACAAAAGAGTATAGGCCCTTTAATGCATTGATTTTTTAAGCAATACTGACATTTAAAACTTTCAAATTTAGTAAAATACAATTTATATGGTTGAAACACTAACATAAATTCAAGCAGCTCAATTATGTTTGAATTCCTTTGAATAAGTGATTTCTATCAAACTAATAAATGCCTAGTAAAGAGTCAAATAAAGACAAATGCTCAAATGTGTGTTATAAAATAATGAATTATCCATGAGATCAAACAACCAAGGCCAAATCAATTGCAGCCTTCACAGGTCTCACGTCAAGCCCCGGTTGTGGCCTGAACTTTTCATGCGTTTATCAAGCCATGGTATTCCAATACGACAATGAGATAATGAGTCTAAGTCCACTCAGGGTTTAAGTGAATTCAATAGACATTAATGAGTCCCCTGGTACTGTTTTATAAAACAGCTAATACCAGAGCATTATCTTTTCCCCCTGAAATGATGAGGACTTTCAGATGGAAATTTATCCTATTATTTCAACAAGAAATCCAGAGACAGTTCTGAATTTTGCAATCCTTATTATCAAGATTTGCAATTACAATGAAATGGTTCTTAGGTCTCCAATATAATTGTGTCCTTTGATTTTTCTGTATAATGAATTCTAACAGCCAAAACATGCAATGTTGAAGCCAAGGGTATTAGCATTGTTTCTATCATTCAAATAAAAAAAAATAAATGAATGCAGCAGTAATGAACCTATTGGAGAGAGTTCTATTTCATGGTTTTATTGTTAACATGCAGCTTTTCAGCAAAATCTAGATTGCATAAACAGAGATTTTTTCCCCCAAGATTTACTGATTAAAAAAAAATGAAACCCAGCTTTTATCAATTTTCAGAAAATTAATTCAATGATATGAAAAACTCAAGAATCCTGATCACTTCAGGGCATCATTATAAATCTCACTCTCATATCTCAACATCATGAACCTTTACTGCCAACAACAGACAATTAAAGCCTTGATCTCCGTTAGCTAAGTTTATACCCATTGTGGGGGAGAGGAAACAGAGAGGGAGTATATACAGGGGGTTTGTTTGGCCTTCCAAGACCTCAATCAAGCCACAGTTTCTTTTATTGATTATCTTTAGTCTGAGCTCTGTGTTTGGGGCAGATTTTTAATGCCACACAGAGAAGGATTCCTCCATTGCCTTTAAATATAGCCCCTGTTTGTCAGTCGTTCTCAGCAATGATAAATGGCTTCCTCTTGTTTTGAACATTAGCTGCTCTTCAGAAAAATGCAAAATAAGTTGATTTACCATTATGTTGGGAAGAAAAACAGTTTAATACTCCTAACTACTCTTTCAGTTCTCAGTAATACAACACTTTAATGACAAACTGGGTTCAAATAGTTCTTTGCACTTTTGACAACAAAATGTATTTATAGCCATATCGTTATCAGAATTTCAAAGGATATTTATATATCTTTTGAAATTTTTCCTCTTCATGTGTTTATTGTCTAGCACTACAAGTCTCATATCAAGCATTAATTGTCATTTGTAGGTTAGATCAGATGTTGATCTAAATGAATATTTAATACAGATACAACTTTAAGTACTTCAGAATGGAACTGCTCGAAGACTCTGACTTGGTCCAGATCTTATCCAGATCTACAGCATGCAATTGCATGTTTGGTAAAAAGTTTTCTCTAATTAAAAAGTACTGCTATGTTGAAATGAAACTGTCCCCAAAAATATTAATCTTCCCTTCCATCTTAAAAGAAAAAGACCAGAGGCAACCTCTGAAGAAAACTTGGTAAATTTTTTGATCTATCATCCACTGGCAAATTTGGTTCTGATCACCACAAGTCTTATGACTTGAGAATCTACCTACTCTGAAAGTTTTCAGCTACAATGAAAAGAAACCTCTCCCCAACTTCATGGAGGTGAGCCAAAAAGTATTCAGGATAAATTTTCTTGCTTTTTTTTTGTTGTTGTTGTTTTTGTTTTAAACTTTTGCAAACCAGTCATTAGAAGCAATTATCACCCTTCTAAGCCATTATCAGCCTAGGCAGACAACACTGCTTAACAGTAAATGAATCTCTGCAACTCTAGATCATTAGGACAATGTTAGGAATTATATGGGCATTGCCTGATTTTTTTTCCTTTTCCTCTTCAGATCATCAAATTGGATGGATTTCTCCTCATAAGTACATCTGCACCTGATACTCACCTAAAATGTTTTTCAGCTTTCCAAAATGCAGCACACCTTCCTGTGCGTTTTCTGCTTTGTATTTTTGATCTGCCTAATGAATATGAACCTAAAATACAAATCAAGAGATATGGCAACTGATTCTACGAAAATAAAATTATATTTTTGCAGTTCGAAAGAATTTTAACAATTTTATTACAGTTAGTTACTACAGCAATATCATTTGTTTAAACTAAGACACAGAATAACAGACTTCTGTGAAGTCTACTTAATATGTACTAATTCTACTGGAAACAGAGCAAAAGTACAGGAGGATTCATATTTTAAAAAATTGCCTAAATATACACAGAAAGGAAAACAGTTGGATGGACATCATACCAAAAAATAACTGTTTTACTTATAGAAACCTATCATTGGAATACATTAATAATTATATCATGATTACTTAACAAATTTTTTGTGATGGAGGTAAAAAACACTGGGGACAACGTTCTGTTGATCTGATTACTATAGAATTTTTAAGGTTCTTCTTTTTGAGACAGTTTTATGAAAGATCAAGGGAGAGTTTGATAACTAAGTACAAGGGCCTCACTTGGAGTAGTTGATGTTTGAGCTGTATTAGCATAAGCAGTGGATTTAGAGGCTTTGTAAATTCATTTTCCGATACAGGTTGGCTGTAATAAGAGTTGATCAGATTGGAAAATGAAAGTACACAGTACCAATGTAAACACAATGCTGTCATTTCTACGGAATTAAGCAAGCCTCCATATTGATCTATAGCTGCTTTATTTACTGTGTTATGAATGTTGGATTAAAGTGGTGAAATTCTTTCCCTATACAGCTAGAACACAAAAATTCCTCACCTATATTTATGTCTGATAGTAAATCATCATCATTATCTTCATTGTTTTCATCACTCGGTTCCTTTCCCATTTTCTTCATTTTTGTGGCGGCTCTTTTCCGTGCTGTAAAAATTTGCATCCATGGAGTTCAGCAGAAAGTTAGATACTGTGAAATCACTAATTTTCTTGGGGGGTTAATTTTTGTTGTTTTATAGGTATGCGGAGACCCACTAATTCAGGTCCACACAAAATGTAAAATTTCATACATATATAACTATACTCAACAATTCTTCATCCATGAAATTAAATCCCCATGAACCTGAATTAATTCTTTTGTCAAACCACGAAAATTTGAACCCACAAAAATATGTGATTTTACAGTATGCATGCCAATTAATGTTTCAGTTAAAGAATTCAATAGGCAAAAAGAAATATGGAGAACTTTAACAAACACAAAATGAACTAACAGATCACTTTCTCAATCATTTTCAACTTCAATTTCCATGTGGTTGATCTTCAAATTACATTGTATATACATGTATATGTGTGTGTGTGCATATGTTGTGTTATATGTCTGATCAAAACATGATCAAAACAGTAACAATTTAGCTTTATGCTTCTGTCTTTTAGTACCATCAGTACTTTTGAATCTTATTTACCCTCCATAATTCTCAATTTATCTTCATCTGTAGTTCTTTCTTCATTTAGTATCACTTCCTCTGTGAATATAAATTAGATATACACTCTTTTAATCTTTAGCATTCACTGGGACCATTATCATCATGTATAAAATACAAATACATTGTACGGTAAGGCTCATCAAAGAACTTCAATGTAGAAATTAGAATGTGTTCCATTTTTTATCATACCAAGGCCACAAAAACAAGGATGTTTAATGGACCTCACATAATGTAATATTTACCTATTTTTTTATTTCATTCTTAAAATATCATGTAATATTTGGTGTAGGTTGCTCAATTTTTTTACCAATTAGAAAACATTCTTTTACAACTGCATATAGTACATGTTTTCTACTCTGTACATATGTATTGTATTTAGCCACACAAAGAAAGTGTTTTATGACTACTATAATTAATCCATGTATTTGATAATCAAATTCCAGTTGTGAAGGATGGGGGGGTGGGGTGGGGGTGGGGGGGTGGGGTGGGGTTACAGAGACATCTATACCAACCTGCCTTGCAGATCCACTCTAAATATCCACTTAACTCCATGTCTATTTGCTGCTGTCTTCGAAGTTTTATGTAAGATCTCCTATTTTCTACTCTTAATCTCTCTTTAGCAAATTCTCTAAAAAAAGTATTAAACAAGGCCTTGTTATTGAAAGTAAAAATGAAGAAACAAGTACCTGTATGTCAAACCAAGTCTCTGAGGAAACTGTAGCTTTACTGATTGAGACTTAACAAAAGTTATCATGACAACACATTGCAATAAAAAATTATGGATAGAATTTAACAGTCTACATTTATTCCAAGTTTTCCCAAAATCAAAAAATTGAAGAATGCATATGATTTGAAAAAAATTAATAATTCATTTGTTATTTTTAGACAATGGACACACATAAAGATAATAAAAATTGTAATACATGTACCAGTAAAGCATTTTGTACATATCATATATGGCATATGATTCCATATTTCATTCTTATACATGTATGTAAAAATAGAATTTTGAAAGACTCTATTTTTGATGCTTTTATCATGTGTTTAAAATCAGACTGAAACTGGAGTTGCAATTTTGCAGAATTTAACAGAATCATCACATTTGATTGAAACAACTCTGCCTCAACAAATTGTTGGAAAATAAAAGCCCTGCAATTCAAGCTAGTTGTTTATGTTTCCTGATATGGTCTACTTGTGCCTCAAGTTTTTTTAAAATCTATTATAGTTGTGGTAGCATTTTGAATAATTGTTAACAGTCACACAGACTGACAGAAGATTGAAACCTTGAAATGCAATGCAAAAGCTCTTCTGGTCTTTGATAAGTAGAGTTAATAAAAACTGATCTATCTAGAAATTAAGATTCTGGTTTGATGTTCATTATTGGTAATTTAAGTAACAAATGAAATCCCATGAATATTTGTTTCCAATTTTCACTTAAAAAAATGATTCAGGAAAGAGATTCTATCTGACAAGTGCTTATTTCTGTAATTTTAAGAAACATGTACATGTATACAATGAAGTCTGACATGTCCTTGAACTCCCAGTGTAATGACTCCAATCTTTTTATTATTCTAGATTTATATAAGATTTATATATCATCATAGGATTAATTAAGTCACAAATGTAATGAACAACCTTCTCCTTATTTATAGGGCATTTGCTGATTAAGTTTCCTCTTGTACTACTTGACAGTTGTAATTTCCAATAGAGAAATTTCACTAGTGCACAAGGTTCAGTAAAATTTAAAAATCTAGATGGACCTTTATGAAAGCCCAACCACAAGTAGTCAATCCTTTTACTTAAAAATTACTTTTGGCATATTGCTTGTATCTAAATTTAACAGACAAATATATTCTGATAAAGGGTTTTCTCATTCAATCTGTATTAAGGGAGGGCAGGTATAATACATGTAAATGTACATGATGTATATGCCAAAATTTATCAGGACTGTTTGTTGTATTAAATAAGGCAATATCCTGTGAAACCTGCTACATGAATGGAGAGTGAATTCTTTAATCACTATATAAAGATATTTTGACCAATGTAATTTAATTGCTTCAAGGACCTAATATGTTAACATTTTTCAGTTATAAAACCTGTCTTCTAAGTCTGGTCATTCAACCATTGACACTGTTAGGATAATCATCAACAGTGTGAAATAGCGCTATTTATTCCTCACAATTTGATGCATTATTGATACAGTTCAGTCTTGCAAGCGCAATAGCTTGTAGTTACATATATATTGATTAGATATAGCCAGAGTGGACCAAATCCATCTCTAATATTGGTGATATACATATATAATCCATGTAGCATACCAAAATGAAATTCATATATAAACCACAAATTATGAAAAACAGCCAATTATCATTGCCCACTCAATCAGCCAGTCTCATATGTCAGCTATTTTTATGCACAATGAATTGACTGGTCATGTACATTTTTTTATCTAAGTTTTATGACCAACAGGCAGCATAATGTACCACAGATATTGGCTGAGTTTTGGGTGAGGACATGGAATTATTCAATGTGTACCAGTCAAAATGAGTTTACTTATGCACTAAGTACACCTAATACTAGTGAGTTAAATTTTAACTTACCCACTAAGTACACCTAATACTAGTGAGTTTACTCTACCAACTGAGCACACCTAAAACTAGTGAGTTTATTCTACCCCCACTAAGCACACCTAACACTAGTGAGTTAACGCTACCCACTAAGTACACCTAACATTAGTGAGTTTACTTACCCACTAAGTACACCTAACATTAGTGAGTTTACTTACCCACTAAGTACACCTAACACTAGTGAGTTTACTTACCCACTAAGTACACCTAATATTAGTGAGTTTACTTACCCACTAAGTACACCTAACATTAGTGAGTTTACTTACCCACTAAGTACACCTAACACTAGTGAGTTTACTTACCCACTAAGTACACCTAATATTAGTGAGTTTACTTACCCACTAAGTACACCTAACACTAGTGAGTTTACTTACCCACTAAGTACACCTAACATTAGTGAGTTTACTTACCCACTAAGTACACCTAACACTAGTGAGTTTACTTACCCACTAAGTACACCTAATATAAGTGAGTTTACTCTACCCACTAAGCACACCTAACATTAGTGAGTTAACTCTACCCACTAAGCACACCTAATATTAGTGAGTTTACTCTACCCACTGAGCACACCTAACACTAATGAGTTTACTTACCCACTAAGTACACCTAACACTAGTGAGTTTACTTACCCACTAAGTCCACCTAACACTAGTGAGTTTACTTACCACTAAGTACACCTAACACTAGTAAGTTTACTTACCCACTAAGTACACTTAACACTAGTGAGTTTACTTACCCACTAAGTACACCTAACACTAGTGAGTTTACTTACCACTAAGTACACCTAACACTAGTGAGTTTACTTACCCACTAAGTACACCTAACACTAGTGAGTTTACTTACCCACTAAGTCCACCTAACACTAGTGAGTTTACTTACCCACTAAGTCCACCTAACACTAGTGAGTTTACTTACCCACTAAGTACACCTAATACTAGTGAGTTTACTTACCCACTAAGTACACCTAACACTAGTGAGTTTACTTACCACTAAGTCCACCTAACATTAGTGAGTTTACTTACCCACTAAGTACACCTAACACTAGTGAGTTTACTTACCCACTAAGTACACTTAACACTAGTGAGTTTACTTACCCACTAAGTACACCTAACACTAGTGAGTTTACTTACCACTAAGTACACCTAACACTAGTGAGTTTACTTACCCACTAAGTACACCTAACATTAGTGAGTTTACTTACCCACTAAGTACACCTAACACTAGTGAGTTTACTTACCCACTAAGTACACCTAATATAAGTGAGTTTACTCTACCCACTAAGCACACCTAACATTAGTGAGTTAACTCTACCCACTAAGCACACCTAATATTAGTGAGTTTACTCTACCCACTGAGCACACCTAACACTAATGAGTTTACTTACCCACTAAGTACACCTAACACTAGTGAGTTTACTTACCCACTAAGTCCACCTAACACTAGTGAGTTTACTTACCACTAAGTACACCTAACACTAGTAAGTTTACTTACCCACTAAGTACACTTAACACTAGTGAGTTTACTTACCCACTAAGTACACCTAACACTAGTGAGTTTACTTACCACTAAGTACACCTAACACTAGTGAGTTTACTTACCCACTAAGTACACCTAACACTAGTGAGTTTACTTACCCACTAAGTCCACCTAACACTAGTGAGTTTACTTACCCACTAAGTCCACCTAACACTAGTGAGTTTACTTACCCACTTAGTACACCTAATACTAGTGAGTTTACTTACCCACTAAGTACACCTAACACTAGTGAGTTTACTTACCACTAAGTCCACCTAACATTAGTGAGTTTACTTACCCACTAAGTACACCTAACACTAGTGAGTTTACTTACCCACTAAGTACACTAACACTAGTGAGTTTACTTACCCACTAAGTACACCTAACACTAGTGAGTTTACTTACCACTAAGTACACCTAACACTAGTGAGTTTACTTACCCACTAAGTACACCTAACATTAGTGAGTTTACTTACCCACTAAGTACACCTAACACTAGTGAGTTTACTTACCCACTAAGTACACCTAACACTAGTGAGTTTACTTACCCACTAAGTCCACCTAACACTAGTGAGTTTACTTACCACTAAGTACACCTAACACTAGTGAGTTTACTTACCCACTAAGTACACCTAACACTAGGGAATTTACTTACCCACCAAGTACACCTAACACTAGTGAGTTTACTTACCCACTAAGTCCACCTAACACTAGTGAGTTTACTTACCACTAAGTACACCTAACACTAGTGAGTTTACTTACCCACTAAGTACACTTAACACTAGTGAGTTTACTTACCCACTAAGTACACTTAACACTAGTGAGTTTACTTACCCACTAAGTACACCTAACACTAGTGAGTTTACTTACCACTAAGTACACCTAACACTAGTGAGTTTACTTACCCACTAAGTCCACCTAACACTAGTGAGTTTACTTACCACTAAGTACACCTAACACTAGTGAGTTTACTTACCCACTAAGTACACCTAACACTAGTGAGTTTACTTACCCACTAAGAACACCTAACACTAAGTTGAGCATAAAAAATGATCCAAGAATGATCAGTGGATAAAAGTAAAGCCAGTTGATATAGGGTCCTATTGCATCATTGGTCTGCAAAAAAAGAAATGAACAGATATGAAAATTCAGAAGTTTAAAATGTGATTAATATGATGAAAAAGAAACTACAATTGATATGTGTTATATCATTGTAAATGTCTAGGTTTTCTGGCCTCAACATCCATTTAATGAGGCCTAAGCAAAAAATATGTTGTTTTTTTTATGGTTACAAAATTTTTGCTCCAACCTTAATTTTTTTTTAATGTACAATCCATATCCATATGTTTTCCTTTAAACATTAAATTTATACATCATAAAATCCCTATCATTTGTGAAAGCTGTTGGGTTGGTGGGAAAAATTTTCTGTACAAAAAAGTGAGCTTCACAGGTGCTCAAACTGATTTGTACTTTAACTTTATGAAACAAAAAAATTTTCAAAAATAAAAATCAAACTCTACCTACTGAACCTCTTCTTTATTAGCATGTTATCGCAACCTAACATATTTTTTTTCTTAGACCTAATCTATGACACATTTTTCTTCATACTTTCAGTAAAGACAATCAGGATATTTAAAATATCAGTATATATTGTTTGTATTGGAGGTGATGCAGACATATTTGCTGGTATATTTGACCAAGCCTTAATATTTTGTCTGAATATTTGTCTTCGTGAGGCCTGGAACCAATTTGTCTCCACGTCCTTAGAGGCCAAATGAACCTGGAGCCACCTTACTTAATGAATGTATAGGGAAATGTTCCCTGCATTATAGAAGATCCAGGCCTATTATGACTGTTCTATTAGCTGGTCTGATCCGTCTTATTTGACACCTGCGGGCTTCTTTACGAAGGCTTAATCAGCCTGGTTTTCACCACAATGCCATACTGAGTCTATTTGAAAATTTCCTTGAATCATTCTTAATTCTAACAATACTAACTGTATGCATGGTTATCAAATATGATCTTATACTCTTATTCAAACAAGATAAGTTGTGAAAAGTTAAATATATCACTTGGGAACCATATGTTTAAAAATTACTTTGAAATATATGATTTAGATTAAATTTTTAGGATGCAGGTGAAACTATAGGAAAGTTTTAAATTCACTTCAATCAATGATAATTGTAACGTACATCAAACAAATTACCAAGATTTGTCACTGATTTCACCTTTTTATTGCCTCAAGATCTTGAGATTAATAGGAGACCCCAATAAGTCCGGAGCAGCACTCACTTGAATTCCTTTGAATCAATGATCAGAGACAACTTAACTTAGAATTCAACCGAATCAACGATCAGGGATAAAAACTTAATTTAATTAAAATTCAATTGAATCAATAACTAGGAACAACAACTTAGAATTCAATTGCATCAATGGTTATGAATTGAAAGATTGGACATCTTTTGTACATCTCAGTGCAATTCTTCCTTGCAATAACAGCACAATCTTACACAATCCAATGAACTACATGTACTCACATAATATAATACTTCTGTCCATCCTTCCATGGTAATACACTGAAACACAGTAAGCATGGCATATGCTATATTGTCAAAACTTGTAATTCCATAGTTAGGCCCAACCCATCGAGCTCGACACACGGAAACATTCTCCTGACACTTAAACGCATCAAAGTATGCTGCATTTTGGGTTTTATCCCAGCACGGCCTTATGTTGGCTTCATCTCCTACGTATATGTTATCTGTCAAAATACAAAAGGTATTTCATTTCCCTTGATTATGTATAACATCATTTTTATTTTTACATTAATGTACATCCACCTGAAACAGCAAGGCCAAGATATGAAAACTAATTGAAATTCATAAAATATATAAATCAAATATTAAATCAATCATACTGATCTATAATACTATAGATTATCATTTTGATTTGTTAGGGTCAATGTTTATGGGCAGTAAAATTGGACTGATTCGTCGGGACGTAATTTCATGGATAGTATCTATTTACAGAGGAATCAGTTAAACCGATTTATTTACAAAGTTTTTATTCTTGGGAATGTTAATTCATGGTTAATGTGACCCAAAAAAATCCATAAACATTGGTTCCTGAGGAATAATGATGACACAGTTTGCACGACGCAATACATCCTCTTTGCACAATGTTAGATTTTGGAAAAAAATTCTAAAATTCTTTCAATATTACATTTAAATGTAAAGAAACAAATATACTGAAAAAGCATTATAATTTAGAGTTTGTCAAGAGAATACTACATACTACATGTATATTGAATTACTTTTGATATGTGAGAACCATGTTTAGACATAATTTGGCAAGACTCATTAAAAAAGTTTTCAGGAATAAAATGTTCTTAAATTTACTTTTGTTAACAAAATATAAGTTTATAGGTAAATAAATAAAAAAATCCAAATTGCCAAAGTAATAGTTCTATTTTCCTGAATCCATTAATAATTACTAGAATCATGTTAATATATTTATATTTTTTTCTACATTTGCATGCAGCAATATAATAAAGCAGATCATGCAATCATATAAAATAAGTTATTTTGGAATCCTTTCAGTTGTTGTTTTTTTTTATTGTAGAGAGGGTCTAGTTTCTACTGTTAGAATTTATTCAACACTTACAGCGAATTACAAAATACCAGTAAAGTTTTCAATAGTTTGCTGGATAGCTCAATAGGGTATACAATTTGGTCTAACAAGTATCACAATAGGTTTGAATCTAGGTCATGAAGTTACTCAGGTGTATTATTAGATTTTACAGGTAAATGTGAGTTGCTTTCAATACTGTATTAATCCACATGTATGTGTCAATGTGTTCTGCTGTAAATTAATGCATTTAGTTTCTTTAATTGCAAATTTCAGTTAATTTGCAGCATTAATGAATGACACCCCCTTCCCTAGGCTCCTTCCTTGCAAAAGGTATTGTTTAACAAGTAAGGAAGTAAGCTTTCCACTTCATTTAATAATAATATAACAAAATTTAATATTACTTATACTGAATAAATTTATGATCAACATCTCTACACCCAGCAAATTTCTATGTTTTGTAACTCTCTGAAAATCTGAAATTTGAATTAAGGGCTTGTTTTACACAAGAACTTATGATTAAAACTAAGCGCTTTTGCAATTTATTTTAATCTTTACATTGTATAAATTGTTATTTTATACTTTATATGAAAAAAATTAGTTAGGTAATTTTATAAAAGCAAAATCTCACAAAATTATTCAGTGATGAGAGTTAAGAACTATCATGTTAAAAAATTTTGAGACTTAGTCATAAGTTCTTTTATAAAATGGGCCCCAAGAGTTCAAATTTGCAACTGCTGGCATAGGCATAGTTTAATCCCTCCATCCTCATTTTCTCTTGTTTTTAATTGGTTTTCAAATATAGTGCTGTTGCCGTTGTTTATTGATAAGAATGAAACTTTTGTCCAAAAGAAAAATTTTACCCTCTAATTTGAAATTGCTTGTAGGTCATGAAAATAGATTTTAATAGGTTTTAATTTCGGAAGTGACAAGACTTTAGAGCAATTAGAAAGAATAGTATGCAGAAGATTTATGCATTACTGAAAGAGCTAGCATACAATTTTACTGAAAAAATTGCAATTGAAGAAAAAAATAATGCATTTATTTACAGCAGAACACCTTGGCACATAATGTGGCTTCATTCAACATTGAAATCAACTCACATCTACCTGTAAAATCTAATGATACACCTGAGTAACTTCGTGACCTAGATTCAAACCTAATGTGATACTTGTTAGACCAAATTGTAAACCCTATTGAGTTATGCAGCAAGCTATTGAAAACTTTACAGGTATTTTGTAATTCGCTGTAACTGCACACACGAGAGGTACACATAACTCATACAAGTAAAGGTCAGAATTACAGAAATCTCCTGTTCTGACAGTGAATTACAAAAATTTTATACAAAATTTGAATCTGAACAAATACAATGTGTTCACACAGAAATAAAATCTTGTGAAATTAAAATGGTCTACAATAGTAAATGCCTACTGAAAATCCATTTGAATGGCCTAAGATGCATTTAATTGGGATATATTTCTATAAGAGCAGAAATATTTGTGGGGATAAAATATCGTTGTTATCTAAAATGGTTTCATGGGGATTAAATTTTGTTTTAAAAGTAACTATATTGAATATATAGCCATATAAAAATATTGTTTGGGATTTAATTTTATTGGTAATTAATTGTAAACAAAGAAGTACATGTAAAAACTAAAAACAAAATTTAATCCCCAATGAATATTTCTGTTTCTACAGTACATTCAAATTGGAAAACAAGCAATTTTAAACAGGGACATAGTCTGATTACAAAACACTAATGTACATGTATTACTCCCAGAAAAAAAAAAAAAAATCATTTTACCTTCATCATTTCCCACTGTTCCTAGTTTAAAGCAGGCAGTTTTGAAAGCACCACTGTAGAATTCTAATCCTACTATAGCGAATATAATGATGGCAAAAAACACCAGCAAACACACTTGTAAAAGTGGAGTCATTGCTCTTATAATAGATTTCAACACTACTTGAAGACCTGTTAAAAAAAAAAAGAAGAAATTTTGTTGAATTTATCAAAGAAACCAAGAAATTATACAGACAACACATTTTAAACAAAACATAACAAAAAGAACACAATCTCCTTTAATTTTAGGATTTACAAACATATAATTTTAAATTGCATATTCTATAAAAACATATTGAATGTTATTCATTTAACATGTAAATGTTTAAATAATTTATCATCATGTTAGTTTCTATTTTTCCACTGAACTTGTTTGAGACTGCGAGCTACATACTTGGTATCCCCGAGACTAATTTAAGGGGACGTAACACTCGGACTGCTCTCAATGTTCGTAAATCTAGTTGACTAGAGGCAGCCATCGTGATAATCCTGTAAAATAAAAAGCTACGCTGTGTATCCCAACTACACCCCTACAACTACACCATATTTCATTAAGATGGGACCAAGTAAACCTTTAATCATGCAAAGTTTTCATGGAGTTCACCATTCAAATGCATTCCGGGTACACTTTAATTGTTTCAACTATTTCTTATAACTCACATGTACATGTACCATGATATTAGAGAGGTTTAGTTATACGTTATGCGAAAACTTGTACGGATGACGACATCAATTGTTCATTTGTTGTGCTCTTTGACTTCATGACCTCAAACCCCTAGAACACTGTCTATACATACGGCATAAAAAAGTAAAGTAATCGATTAAATTCTTTATTTCTTGTTTCAAGCTATCAATTTTTTTAAGTGATAAAACAAGAGGACTATCTCAACGATCAACATTCTCTACTGAATGATAATTCCAACAAAGTCCCTGCACATTTAGCGAAAACTGATATCATAAGCACTCTTTTTTCCCCTTAGAACTATTAACAAGAAATATTCCATACTATATCTATATCATGAACCCACCTAAAAAGTTCAATGTTTCCGTTTCATTCAATTCCTATTAAAACATAGTTCGGCGAAGTCCTTTTACATACACATTACGTCTCTGCATTTCAGGATGAGAAAATGTAATATTTAATATCTCCTCCCCACTTACAAACTTCTGATCATAAAGCAGTAAGAGATTGTTCCTAAAAGTTAAATATTTCCCTCCTTACATTAGCACTTGTAAAGTGCAGACATGTAAAACGAAGGAAAGGAGGGGGGTTGGGGGTCTTAAAAGTATTTTAGTATTTTGCTGTTAACAATGTACTGATGCATTATTCCATGCCTCCCTTTTAAACGGTATGATTGAGCTCCTACATTTTATCATTCTTAAAAGGTTTTTTGTTGTGAATAATCCCCCCCCCCCCCCCCCCAATGAGTGGAATTTTGTAAAACACTCTTTTTTTTCATTTTTAAAATTTTTTTTTCACTTTTTTTGTCATTGCGGTTGCTCTTTTTTGTCAATTATTTTTATCGCTGCCGCCACATTTTAAAGTGATGCAGAAAAGCTTGTACTAGTACTGTAGACCTTTTTAAGATATATAAAGCTACCTCATACAGCGAGATGGCAAAACATATAATAATTAATCATTGTATATGATATCTCTGACTAGAATTTGGCAAGAATTTTCATTTAGTTTTGATTTTTTATTAGAAAACAATGCCTTAGTTACAATGAATCTACTATACTCACTTTTTAACTAAAGTTTGCATACGTAGGTACGTACAACTAAATCATAATATTATTGTTGACTTCAAAAACATGTATTACATGTACCTCAAAGTTTAGCACACACGTTATTACGTCACTTGTAACCAAACCTCTCTATTGTGTCAGGAGTCACAAGTTTGTAAAATTGTCTGTACCAGATAAAAATACATGATATGTATGTGTACATAAGCTTCATTATTTTGTCATTTATATTTTTACCATTTCAAGTTTCTCTACAGACATGGTACATTATCAGAAAAAAATAACAATCTTTCTGTTTTCAATGATCTATGGTACATATACATGAAGCATCTATCATGATTTGGCAAGAGTTGAATTTAAGATGTAGTCACCTACAAGCTATAAAAACTATGTATTTTCAATTTCTTATATCGGTGTCATGTAAGAGGCATGAAGCATGCAACATGATCCTTCCCCAGTGGCATTCATGTGAATATACTTTTAGGTCATCATGTATTGATATGTTTATATATTGACATGATTGATGATGGCACTAGCATTATTTAGCTAACCCTCATAACTTACTTTCTATTCCATACACTAGTTTTAAAGGTCTTAAAACTTTCAAGGCTCGGACCTCAGGACGATTAAAAGAGGTCACCATCTCAATGCACCTATATACCACGAAATATACACTTTAAATTTTAGGGTTTTTTTCTTTTATATTAAACTCAATTGATGTGTATTAAGTTAAAAGTAATTATATTCATGATTATAGCTTTCTCATTTGTCATCATACAATGGATATCAAGACAACATGTCCCAAAGCAATGTTTGGTTTGAATTTAAAGTGCAATCATAAAATGTACATGTACCAGGCCGATGCCATGGTTGTGGGAGGGAGGGTCTGAATCAAATAACTTTTCATAAATGGGTACTATTCTGGTTGGTCATACTGCATTCTTTAAATGATTTTTCTTTTTTTGCATATTAAAAAAAACAAAATCTATTTTAAACAAATGAATATTGAATTAATTTTTGTTTCAAAGATATTTTAGCGTTTCTTTTTTGTTTTTATTTTTTGGATGGGGTTGATCACACCCAAAGCATCCCTCCTTCTGACGGTCTTCATGTTCTAAGTAAACACAAAATTCAACATTTTTGATGATACATTTCTGATGTTACATAAAAAAGGTATTGAAATGTAATATTACACCCGAGACTCAAATAAGTAAATAAGAGAGATTCGCAACTAAACCTCAATGTAATGTCCCATTATTTCTTGCATATTATCGTTTTTCAATTTCTTAGAACACCTGATTTGATATACATCAGATTGGTGTTTATTGTCAGACGAATCTAGTCTCTAGTTTAAAATGGCCAATAGCTACAACTGGTTCAAAGTCTACGAGTGTATGAGCAAATATCAACCACTGAATTGTTTGTGTCATTTTACCAAAATAAGAACATCTCGATCAGCTTAGACCTACTAAAACAGTGACGTTTCTTCAAATATTAAAAAAAAGTTGCAGCGTTTGATTTTTCCCTCTTTCCATTTTTTATCTCCCTGCACTGAAGAGCAGCTATTTCCGGTTTGTTTGTTTTTTGGAGTGACCTCCCTTTAATGAAAAAAAAATGTGTAAAATAACGTTGTACTTACCCTGTTACTACGACTACAAAATCCATTATATTCCAAATATTTCTTAGATATGCTCCTTTATGTAATACAAATCCTAAAGCTACTATTTTTAGTAAAGCTTCTACTAAGAAGATAACTACAAAGTAGATTTCTGTTTCTTCCTGAAAAAAAAAAAAAAGAAAAATTAAAAATATACTGAAATAACAGTGCATCATTTTTTCTTTTAAAATTAATTCATAAAAAGGAAGCCTGTATTGATGATATTTAAATTTATTAAAAGTCAATCTACTTACAAGCTGAACAGCTAGTGGTGTTTTGTCATCATTAGGAAGATGTTCCTCTAATGCTAACACTATACAGTTGGCAATGATAGTGAGTAGTACCATGTACTCGAAAGGCGTACACAAAGTTAAGGATAAATATTTGTATAGGGATAGGGCTAAAATAGACTGAGCCTGCTGCCCAATCCCATTCACTTCTGTGAATGAAATATTGTTTAAATTAATAAATATTTGTATGTCATACAACGAGAAGTAATATAAAACTCAAAGAAAAATATCCTACAACACAAACATGTATATATACATGTATTTAATAACAAATCAATTTTGATTGGACTTGTATTGTAAATGCAAACTCATTATTTGTTTATTTTACGACCATTTAACTGAAAATTACATCCTTTGATCCGCTCCAGATGATCGTTACATAAAGCACCTTTTCCGTAGATGACAGTGTATATATATATATATATATATATATATATATATATATATATATATATATATATATATATATATATATATATATATATATATATATATATATATATATATATATATATATACACAGAAAACAGTGAAAACAGTGATAATGCAGCTTTTCGCTCCTCTACACAGCTGCTGCAATATGCACTTTTTTTTAAATCTGGTTTTTTTAATTTAAAAAAATCTGGGACAATAGTGAGAGTCTAATTCGTATTATTTGCAGAGGTTTTGCACAACAGTGATACATTTAATATTAATTATCTAGCTGGTCTTTCAGTGACGTGTTGACAGTTCCCAGTCATGCCTTAATCGGCGTTACTTCATACAATAAGCAATCAACACATTTTTCCTTCTAAAACCTGATATAGTGTCTCTATACATTGATATACTCAGAATGTCGCAAGTTTGAGTGCAAAGATTGTAATATTGTAAATATTGTATTTACTGCCACCCGGTAATTAAATTGAAAATTTATTATATAGCAATATGTACATGTATATCTGTGCATATGTATCACATCACATTCTAATTTTTATTTTACAATGATCACAATGAAAACGGAATGCTTGAATGAGTAGGAAATTTAAAAAAAAAAATACAAATCTTAAACATCCTTTATTAATGACGTGGGTAAGAAACATGGAATCATGCGTATTAATAAAACGTTAACGGGATTTCTTCGTATTTTTAACAAGAAGGAAATGTTATTTGATATAAAAGATATATTGCGGCACTAAAATCGCTTTCTCATGCTTCACATTTTTAAAAAAAGGTTTTTGCATCGAAAGCATAGGCTGCAATCCGGAAATAATAGTCGAAAAACATTTTCACATGATTGTTTTCTGTCATAAATATAAATTTTTGATAGCGTTAATGGCTGGAATATAAAAGAATATGATCCATTGTTTAATCTATATAATATTACTTTACATTTCCCTGTGTGAGTAATTCTCGTATCATGTTTCCATTTTGAGTTTTCCATATACATGTAACTTTCAATTTTGTAAATAATACTTTTAATTTTCCCCCACCCAGTAATTTCATTATTTACGTCATGAGTCAACTATTACCCACAAATCTCTTTATTTTTTAAATTGATTATAACAATCAAAGAGCAGCAAAATTTAACCCACCCACCCACCCAAAACAATCAAACTAAGAAAAAAAAACAACAACCAAAGATTCAATATAAATTTCTTGAAGTAAAGGATATCCCCATTCGATGATAATCTTTGCATACTTTCGGATGAAGTTCTCTTCACTAAAGATGAACAATGACCGGGAGGCGGAGCCACCTGTCCCAGGAAGACTTATGTCGGCTGCCTTTTTGGCAAAATGGCGGAGCGATCCATCAGAAGGGCCCCAATATTCTCCCCCGTCCTGGCCTTCATGGCCCCCAACCGTGAAGTTCGCCATTCTGCAAACAGAAAATAGTGTATTGTATAGAAATGTACGGCGTTCATTTGATGCTGTTGCTGCTGATGTGGAGTTGAAGATTTATACTCAACAAAGGATGAAAAGAAAAATAGGATATAAAGATCTTATTGTAGATTTTATTGTTATAATATTTACATCCACTGAATATTTTCTCCTTTATTTCTAAAGAAAACCAATGCTGTTTATCAGTGCATGAACAACACTAGGTATATCACCTGTACAGATTTCTTGATCACTGGCTGTTCCATCAACGAAACATACAATGACGTACATATCAATAATACAATAATTAATCTTTTTTAATCCTACTTTATATGGTTATTTACACAGATATAAATATAAACAATAAAATGTCTTTCTTTGGTTGTTAGTACGGGAATTAACGTCGCAGCTTTGCAGAAAAAATTTACATAACCCGCTTACGCGGGTTATGTATTTTTTCTGCAACAGCTGTGACATTAATTCCCCTACTAACAACCAAAGAAAGCATTTTATTGTTTAAATAAAATGAATAACACAACAAATTTTCCACGATATGTTCTGATTGTTTTCATTGGAAACAGTAATACAGTGACATTGACCCAGTTACACGGTAGACAATATGACAGTGACCTAATTAATCACATGAGAAGAGAAACATAAAAATACGTGAATAACCACTGGGTCTGTAACAGTATAACAATCTTGGTTCAATAAATCAATGTCTGCATGCATTAAGCTTTCACCGACTTTGTAAAAAATCAATATAAATCTTGTTTCAACATTGTCTCATTGTCTAAAATATTAAGCAATTCAAACGATGTTATAGGTCAACATATTTATTTTACAAGTGCTCTAGGTTTTTTGTTGCTCACAAAGTGTCGATACCGTTATAGTTTGAGCAAATTCAGCATCAATCAATGAAGAGCAATTCTATTTCAATACAACGAAATCACAACAACTCAAAACAAATGTAAGCTCCCTTTTAGGAATTCTACATCAATATGCGAGTAAGGTTCCGGAATATGAGAAACATGAATCTTATAATTAGCTTTGCATAGTTCCTTTAAACAGAATGTAAAAATTTACAACCACTTAACCATTAAAAGCTATGGCTAGTAACATACCAATGTAAATAACCATTTGATTAAGTTTTTCACAACATAACCACCAATGTAACGTTTTTAAAATAAGATATCGGCATACAACCACACCATCTATAGAGAGTTATGTTTGCAACATCATTTCAAGCAAATGCAATCGTAAAGAAAAACGAAAATAAGAATTTTTTTTTTTTGGAAACTTGCCCTTGTGGCAATATTGGAAATGATCAATGTTTAATTTACATGTACATGTATTATGTTTGTAATGATATCGAAAAAAGGGTCATCTACTAGTCAGAGAGAAACATAATACTAAGTTTATCAGACCTCGATATCACTTCTTAGAGGGTACCAGAATACTAAGATTGGTGTATGTCAAGCAAATAATTCTCAAGATATATTCCTATGTCCAGAGTAACTTGACCTTTGACCGTGTGACCTCAAAATCAAAAGGGTCATCTACTCCTTAAGGAAAACCCAAGTACTAAGTTTGATGTCTGTCAAACAAAGATTTTTTTCCTTTGTCAAGAGTAGTTTGCCCCTTGACATCGTGACCTCAAAATCTACAGGGGTCATCTATTCCTCTGGGCATATCAGTATACCATCTTTATTGTCTGTCAAGTATATTGATCGAACAACACGAGTATACCGACCATACTAAGGTGAAAACCAATAAGCCCCCTGTTTCAAGGTGGAGTAAAACAGAAGACATTTTGTTTTACAGTCTCAATTATGAATACTGTTTTAAAAGATACTTCATGTATATTGTCATCCTGTGACTCAAAGGATAAGCAAGTAATACTCATACAGAACTCAAAGAGTACATCTTAAGTAGATATCGTATGATCTCTTTATGGCTAGTTGCTATTTTCAACCCCCCGGTATCCCTGCCGTAAGTATGACTGAACACGACTAGTGAGTGGTTAAATCAATTATCCGTAAGTATGTTGGGTTATAGAAAAACCAAAAATCGTTCTCGACGTATATCGTACAGGAATGGAATATCTTCAATGAGTTTCCGGGAAGATAATTATTGCAGCAATTATATATTTTATTTACGATTATTATATTTGGTAATCAGTCTAACCCTCCAGCATAGCTATTCACGAAAGGCAAGATGAAGCGCATGAACACTACCGTTCACAGTCTGTGCATTTTTTATTTGATTATGATCATGACTGCTTGGCGGAAGCCGATACGTAATGCTAACAAGCTCTGCAATTGCCGAGTAAATTCGGTATGTATTGATCACCAAATAAAATATTTAAAGATATGGAATTTACATCCTTTCCATTGTTTCGTTTGAAATTCTATCGTTAATTCGTTGTATGAACGATCGTTACCGTTAAGGTTCTTTTGTATACAGTATTGAATTTTGGTTAGGGGAGAGATTGATTCTTCAAATAAAATATATGTCCATTTAAGGATTTCAAACAAATAACACTGGCATGAACAAACTGTTTATTTACCTTTTTATGTTACGAACAATACTTCACACACCACTGAAAATACAAAATTCTAATAAAAGATCAGCCATGAAAACGTTTGTAAAACTGATGAGACATCCTCACAACGTCAGAGGTCCCGAGTCCAACACATGGTCGTGGACCAGAACCACGTGTGGACTCAGGACCCCTGCCGTTGTGAGGATGCTGATAAAAGTCATTAAAACAAGTACTGAGATCGGGAAAAAAACTACACCATGTGAATTTAAAAAATGTCAGCAACATTAGAGTGGTATGAACCAAAACACGCAGAATAAACTGGGAATTTTGTTGCTTTGCAGCAGAGTCATAACGATATCAGTTACAAAGCTCTGATGAAATATTTTAATGTTGCAAAAGTATACTTTTGAAACTGGACGAATTAAAAGCCATACGCTGCTACATTGTGGAACCTCAGACACTATATTCCCTCTGGGAGACCAGAGCTTGTCAATATCTGAAGACGACAATGAATTATACATAAACTTCTGACATATGTTTGCGTTCTGTTGGCCACGGAGCCTTTTTGAATTTCCCTTGCGTGCAACAACGGCCTGCTTTTCAGTCGTATATATAAGAATAATTTGAAACATGCAATCTGCAGATTATTGCAAATTCAGGAACACAAGTGGACCCAAACCAACTCATCGTCTCAATCTAAGTTTCGGAGTCCGCATATAGCTCTCTCTAACACGGCCAGAATGGGAGAGGATCGTACATTTTGGCAATGGTTTGCGACGACGAAACCAACAAAGGTCGACAGAAACTACTATAAATCATATATTTTTCGACTATATATACATGTACATTTAGTTTTCGATTGACCAGAATTTGTTTTAGAGCTCAGCGAAAAAAATACCGTTTAAATGAAATAAGTATTTTATATTTAAAAATTGAATGGAATGGAACAACAAACCAACAGTCTATAATTATATGTTCTCTCATAGTGCATACACTGTACACCAACTCCGCGTGTTCTTTACATGGTTGTACAAACCAGTCAGTGATAACGTGTATTAACACACTACAATTAGTCCACTTTGCATTTTTAGAATCTGTCACATACTATTGTAAAATGAAGGATTTCTGTACAAAGAACAGTTTAGAACAGGCGTCCTTTTTCGGTTAATTCATGATTAATTCAAGTCTCTTTAGTCATCATAGACGTATTATCGGTACAGTAATTGATTCCAATATAATACATTAATGTAGATTCGTTTAATTAATAGTTTACGAGAGAAATTCGCCAATTAGAATGAGCCACATATTATTATAGATTACAAAGGTTTGATCCTAATTATATATGAACATGAATTAATTGAATACTAGTACCTAGAGTTACCTAACAAACAATCGATTTGTTTTCTCTGGGATGTGAAAGAACAGGAGATTGATAAAAAAAAATTGCTTCATCTAATTTTTAATGTAATTGATAATATTTCTGGAAATTGTCATGTTATGCAACAAATATCCAAAAATATTGAAGAAGAAATAAGAATGTAAGCAGATAAATTTAAAATTCAGTCACTAATACCGGTACAATTCATATAGTCCATTTAGAGGGAACATAAGGAATCTAATCCCCATGCATGGTATTCTGGGCCTAACCATTGAACTCCATGGCTCCGTACATCTGGGAATTCCTTCCTCTTTGTTGTCAGGAGGTTCGTTTCAAGCCAGGTTCTCTCTGTGTCTTAAGATTTATTAACATGAATATACTTATGGAGAAATTCATACAGGAAAAGGTCATACAGCGCAGCATTGATGTTTTACTTTCGAGGGTGATCGATCCCAATTAATTTCAACAGGGGTAGGTAATGCGGCAATAATGCAGATGATTTGACCAACTTTTTACATCCCAAAACCGATGATATCGAACCATTTATGTTGAGCACGAAGAGAAAACAGTAAATACTTTACACGGCTAATCATCATAGAAGCTGCAGCATTTATGTTTCATATTGTACAATCATGTATGTTAGCGTGGGCAACTTTTTATACGAAAGATTGCCAAAAAGATATTCTAAATTAATTAATAAGGGTATCATGTTGTAAATTTTGAATTTAATAGGGGGAGTTAAATGCAAAATTTACAACATGAACAAGCAACAATAACAGCACCTTGATCATTCTGCCACAAAAAATCTTTTACTTAAAAAAACACAAATTATTAAATTATTCTCTCTCTATTTTTATTTTTTTTTGTTTAATTTGGTGTTGCGAAAGGCTGTGAAAAAAAGGATGTTTAGAGGGAGATTTTCATTGCTTAAATAAATGCTAAACAAGTCTTCTGGTAAAGACAACTCAATAATATCACCTTTGCAAATCAGTTATATTTTACTGTTTTTATTATAGTCATTTTTACGAACAAATCTAAAGATGTGTGTTGTTGTTTGTTTTTTTTTACCACAATT